ATTGAAAATAGCATAAAGGAAAAGAGAACAGTGGATGTTTGACAGCTTGTACTTTATTTGAAGATTTATTGAAAAGACTAGCAACTTCGAAACTTCTCACAGACATGGATGCAATTGAAAGGGGATATCATAATAAATATACTGGCAAATTATTGCCATAACCTAAACGAAGGAAACTAAGACACTGTTTGTGAGCTAAAATTTACTTCTCAAAACCAGTAATAATGTACGTACACTGCGAAAAAAGGGGGAGGGCAGTTCTATATCGCCCGTTCTACTGGGCCAATTGACAAAATTCAAATTGCATTTTTTATGTTTCAAAAGCGCGACTTGGGATATGTATTAGATTTATATGTAGGATTGTTCTAATATATGTATTTTGACACAAAATCGGACTTTTTTCTGAAGTAATGTACCACTTTTCTTCATACTTCAAATTCTACGACACAAATTACGCCAAACTGCCACGCTTTGTAAAAATTGCATGAATAGTTTTTAAAACATTAGATCTCAAAATTTTAGAATTAATGTTAATTGAGTTTCGTATGCATTTATTAACTCTCTTTTCTTTATTAAACTTATTTGATTTTTCCTTTCACATTTCGAAATTCAGGCTCATTCCCAATAAAATTCATCCATTTTTTATGATTTATTTTTAAAATTTGTATCTTTAAATAATTTTTATAAATTTTTCAAAAAACATTTTGAATTATAATCAATAACATTTTTACCATCACCTTAAAGTAGACGTATTTCTAAGCATACCTGCAAAAAATTACAGTTTTTTATACAAAATTTCCGAAGATATACGTGAATTTACATATTGGCGCGTTTTGAAATTTGGCATATTTGTTGAAAGTGATAAAACATGAAATGTGGTTTAGACACTTTGCTAAAATTATTTGAAAGTAGGAACCGATGTGACTTTTGTTCCGCTCATGAACAATGTAAAATGGTAGAACGAGGCAAGACTTAAAAGAGACTATTTTATCCCTGAGAACGAGGTGCCTTTTTCTTTGTTCCGGCATAATGGAAGGGAAAGGAAAAATAGCTGCCATAAATTAAGAAGTTCGCCAAGTGAATTATTCTTGGCGTAAACTGAAATAAATTTCGCCGAAATATTTTTTTTTATTTCGCCGTATATTTCGCACCAAATTTTACAAAATTTAATATCTAGGCATAATTTGAGTCGTTGAATCGAAAAATGGAGAAAAAACTGGTATGTTATTTCAGAAAAAGTGCGACTTTGTGTCAAAATAAATATGTTAGAACAGTGCTATATATAAATCTAATATATATCCTAAGGCGCGCTTTCGAGACATGAAAAACGCAATTTGAATTTTGTCAATCGGCTCAGAACGGGAGAAGAACTGCCCCATTTCTTTTTTCCCATAGTGTACAAAACATTTTATCAAGTGAATGAAAATATTGACTTTCGAAGTATATCTTAGCACTCTTTTAGGAACCTGAGAATAATATAGCGGTTTAAACATCATAAATGTTATTTAGGAGGTGACAGGAAAACCCTAATCATCATTTATTGTTCGGAAACAAATATGATTTTTTTTGAAGATTTATATAACTTGTTCGATATTCATTTCAAATTAAAATTTTAACCCACTGCTAGATTTACATGATAGGATCTCGTTCATTATTCTGCTGTTCAAACATTTCCCTCTTAAGAAGAAAATCGTTTTATAGCCTACTAAAAAAGCAGTTCTTTTTCATCAACTGTATTAAATAGGATGAATAGAGTTTCACTAATCATTTATTTTAAATAAAAGGATGAATAGAACCCAGTCATTTATTTTCTAGTCATTTCACCAGTCATTTATTTTAAATAGGACGAATTGTCATTTATTTATTAAATAGGATGAATAGAATTACACCAGTCATTTATTTTAAAAATCATTTCACCAGTTGTTTATTTTAAATAGGACGAGTAGTCATTTATTTATTAAACAGGATGAATAGAATTTCACTAGTCATTTATTTATTAAACAGGATTAATGGAATTTCACCAGTCATTTATTTTTAAAATCATTTAATGCAAATGTAGAATAGGAGATAAAGAAACTTTATAATTAAAGTTAAATTTAACTTTATAATTAAAGTTAAAATTGAAACATTTATGCAAACTTACCGTAAGCATTTATCCATGGTGTTGAGGTTAATACAATTATTACAAACAAAAAATCTTCATTTTTTAGCAGGTCATGATTTTGTATCAGTTTAATAAAAAATTAAATAAAAATCAGTCTCAGTTATAAATCCGTTATAAAGTGATGGCTTGTTAAAAGTGATTCTGTAAGAATTTCTAGAGGAAGTCTAACGTACTAATGCAAGGAAGCAGTTGTCTTTAATGATCATTGAGCGGAAATAAATAACAGATAAGAAAACTGACAAGGAATGACACGTACGCACGATAAAAAATAATTACATTTCTGAAATTTTTCTTTTTCTCTAATTGAAAGATAATTGCTAAATCTCATGAGTAATATTTCGTAGCTCATTGAAATTTCAGATAAAATAATTAGGCAGTTTTAAACAATTTGAACAGAAAATTTATTTATATTTATCGCTAAATTTGGCCACCATATACAGACCTAGTTATAATACTTGTATTTCACGCATACTTTCCACATATCTGATGATCAGAAACAGAGTTTTCCTATTTTCGCTATTTCAATACTTTGTGCAGTTTCTATTATTTGGATTTATATATGCATGTACCTATGCCATTTATATAAGTATGTATAAGCTTGGCCTGCCAGGCTAAGCATACTTGGCCAGGAGGAAGCCGTTTGCCATGCGTATTTCGAAGATTGCACTACACTTCGTGTGTGACTCATCCAAAATGCACAATGAGCTCCTGTCTGCGATGTCGCTGTAGAGTCATAAGGCTATTTTGAAGCAGTAGACGTCCAAAATGTGCAGTGCCCTCACCGGCACTCGAACCTGGTCCTCTCGAATACACAATGGATGTGTTAAGAAGGCATGCAGAAAGGAGGAGGAAAATACCTTATATACTTCCCCCCTTTTAAAGGGCGACTGGGGATTAGCGGTTCCAGTCGCCAAATCCTGGTGGTGAAGAATCATCATCTACTACCTTTTAGTTCGGGCGCCACTGGAAATATATTAGGTTATTATCGATGTCAGGAAGCTGAAAAATGTGCTATGCCCCCGCTAGGACTCTTACCTAGACCTCTCGAATACGAACCTGGACATCAAATTTGCATGAGTTGATATTTACACGTTTTTAAAACTTTAATTGTTCTTTTTCTTGAATATATATCAATATATATTCATATACTTTTAAACTAGCTTCTTCAAATAAGCAAATATACCATATTTACCCATATATTTTCTCCCCTTCTTTTTAACATCAGGTTCTGAAATTTTTAAAAGTATTACTTACCTCTTTCACAAGGCGTTCAGAAAGTGAGCTGTTATAAATTTTAAAATGGATTCGTCTACGTAGTGGTTGCTTTTGAAGTACTAACTGATCTGACAACTCTGAAAGCATGGGCTGTGATTGATAAATAATAGTGAAGAGATACAAGAAAATGGGAGTAGAGTTTGTAACAACTATTGCACATGGGAAGAAGAAGAAGAAGAAGATTAGGGCATTCCCCGTATCGAGAACTCAATCTCATTCCGGGTCCACTCCCCCTTTGGGTTGAACCGTGGTGGTTCAACCTCCACTATTACCCATCAGGAGAGCAGCGCACCACCTGGGGAAGTACCCCAGGCAGCACCGGTCGTCTAATGCTCCTACCAGTCGCTTGGGCGAGCCCGTCGCAGCGGGACATTACCCAGCGACCCCGGGGGAGACCCCCGGGGTTACTAGTACCACGCCGCGCTAGGACGTGCCAGACTCCGGGGCCGGCCAATAAGTGATTTTTCCCAGAGCCTTCAGAACCACCAAGTTCATAAATTTTATACCCCCGTAGCCGAGACTGCCTAGGTACAGATCCTAGCCAGTAGCTTCGCAGAGTTCTCTACGTCGACCACCGGGGGGGTTGCACATGGGAAGACAAACTGACAAAGATAATGACAATGACTTCCAACCCGCAGCAGAAACCACGTTACTCATATCAAAATGTTATGATTAAAAAAAAGTATTATAGCAATCTGCAATATTGTTACACTTTTTATATTTATTTAGGTATTTTTAGTAGAATTTGTAATTAAAATAGTTTTATATTCCTGTGAAATGCAGCACGAGATTTATTTGAAGAGAAAGATACGGCGGAATAATTAAAATACAGAAGCACGCGCATTTAACATTTAAATAAATAGATATCTCATAATTGTAGTCTTTTGCTATCCAGAAAAATCGAAAAAATACTAGAATGTTCTCGTGCATATTTAAAAAGCTTATAAAAGCGGGAGGAAAACATCTTCAATTCAGTTTGTTTATTTAGTGCTGTTACGGATTGTAGCGAATTCGCGGTGAGATCAGATTAGCTTTCTCAGTGTTTTTTAATACTCTTCAACGTTTTAGTAGTTTAAAATATAACTACTGTGCGATATTGCCATATTATAGGAATATCTGTGAGAAAATTTCAGCATTTTGTTTTATTTGCTGTGATAAGAATAAATTTTATTCACTTTTCATCGGACTTGTGCATTCAATTTATTACGAACCCGTGCGCACGCATGTAATCATGGTCATGAAATTATGTATCAATTGTCAAACTGTATGTAAATCATGGTCATATATTACATACAATGAAGACCGGTTTCGTCGAAAACAGCAATACTTTATTCAAAATGTTCCGATAAAAGTAAGTATTACAACTATCTGCAATACGTTACTGAATTATAGAACAGTCAATTTAGATGCTATTGTGCTCTGAATATGCAACTCAAAATGCGATCGTGTATTTCCAAAATAAACTCCTTCTGACGTTATCTCATTTGTGATAACTGATATAGATGTATCGAAGCACATACTGGAAAGCTTATAATTATCTGTTTTTGGTAAGTTTACGCAGAGTATGTATAACCTTCGTCAAATCTAATCGCAAATCACTCCTACGCGAAAGTACAATAAAATTTTCTTACTTATCTGGTGTATTCGAAGTAGCAAATTTAATTAAAAAATTTGAAATTAATGAAGGGAAAATAGTTTTTCTGTGATTTTAAAGAAAATGACTTCGAAAGTATTGGATATAATTACTGTTTTATTCTTCTTTTATTCGGTATTCATCCATGCATCGGATATCTTAAAAGCAGATGATCTTAGCCATGCAATTATTGACGCAGTTTTAATGGAAAATGGAAATGGAGAGGTTATGGACCCAATGAATATCACAGGTAAAATTTAATTTGTAATAGAGTATGAATTATATTTTATAACCGCGGGTAGTAGAAATATCTTTTGGAGGTAGTGAGACGGATATTGAAAATTAATTATAATAAAAGAAAACAATAGAGAAAGAAAATTTGAAAGCATTCCGATTTAAAAGTCGCACAAGAGTATAAGTTATGGTTTTTTCTGTCGCAGTTGCCTTTCTACTCTTAGACTCACACTTACCAGCATTTTTTTTTTTTTTTTTTTTTTTTTTTTTTTTTTTTTTTTTGTTTTTTTTTCAACTTTATTAGTAAGCATCGCTATTAACCATCGCTTTCTTCGCACTTCCGTTGCAAAAACTCAGAGCAAAATCACAAAATATATAAAAATAGCATATTTTTAGAATTCCCGATAGAAAGTTAGAAGTTATATATATATGTGTGTGTGTAACATATATATATAATTATGTGATGTACCAGCTTTTGTCCGGAATAAATAAATTGGTGAAGATCATAGATGTTTTCTTTTTTTTTTTTTTTTTTTTTTTTTTTTTTTTTTTTTTTTTTTTTCCAAAATTAAGTTTAAAAAAAGGATCCATTTATTATATTTCAGGGGAAATAGCAATTACAAAAATCTGATCTCCGGAGTAAATAAAAAAGAATTACTAATAATTTTTTGTATGAAGTTTACTGCATCATTACATTTAAGAAAAGACGTCACAAATGACTTTCGAAAGAAAATTGAAGTGGATAAGCGGCTTAATTTGGGTAAATCAATTCTAGAAGGTTTGACAGATGGTTTGCCAACGAACTCAAAGTCTTTGATGATTGTTCAAAGTCCCGCTGATCCGATAACTTGGCTAGAACAAGCCCACAAACTTCAACAAATTCATGAATTTAAAGATGAAAATTCACAAAATTATAACATAGATAGGAATAGTCAACATTCAGACAAGCTAATTTCCGAAATAATATTCGTCAGTTTGCTGATAATCGAACCCAATGCATCTAATTACAAACCTCATAGTTTTCAACAAATTGGAAATAAATCTAACAGCAATATCAACAACGGAAATGAAAGTTGTAAGTCACCATACTAATAGTAATTTTGACGGTATAGCCCCATCACCTTGTAGAATATGTACCAAAAAAGGGATACTAAATTGTTATCACTGGGCTCAAATCTGCCTATTCCGAAAAGAACATACAGTTAGAATTTTAAGTGTATTTTTGACTATGGAATTTTATTATTACCACACACACACACACATATATATATATCTATACAGAATCACGGTGAACGGCGAATCACTTTTCAAACTGTCGCCACCAAATATTATTGCTCTGTATTATATTTGAAGAAGTTAAATAATAAATAATCTGCATAAATGTTTGTAGGAAAAAAAAACAATAGTACCCACAGCCATCCAGTTTTGAACAACGTAGTCCTCCATCAGAACATGGGCACCTGGAAACCGGAATCTGGAATACGGAATTTGTTTCATTATCTCTTTCATAAAATTTGGAAAAATTTCACGAATTTTTGATTAACAACCTGAACGATCCAGCAGTGGAAACACTATAGAAAATAAAATAGTTTCACCTCCAGCAAGCGAGACTGTCTATCAGAATTTTTAAGTCGTTATTTCATTCGGATTCATATTATTTCCATTATCATTTAAGACAAACATGAATAACACGCCACAAAATCTGTGGGTAAAGGCAATGAATTTACAGTATAAAACAAATAAATAAAAAAAGGCTGAAAGATTTCAGATTTTATATTACGCCCAAAGAAGCGTTTTTTTTAACGTTTTGTGTGTTGTCTTTATTTATTAAATATCATGTTCTTCGCACTTAAACCATACGATTCAATTCAACAACAATATTATAAAATAATTTGAAAACAGTATATCTTTAGAATTTTCCTATACAACAGGCTCGCGCGCTGGAGATCATTAGATTTTTTTTCTTTTTCCTCGTTACGGTGTTGCCATTGCTCGCTTTGAAATCGTTGAGTTTGTTAATCAAAAATTCACTAACGTTTTACAAAACATGAAATTAAACAAATTCCAAATTTGGGCTTCCAGATGCTCGGGTGGAAACGCACGTTATTCAAAATTTGATGGCTCTAAGTACCGTTGCTTTATCTGAATGCGAGAAACATACATTTATCCAGATTCTTCATTATTTAATTTCTGTAAATATAATAGACTTCATAGAAGGTCCAGAAAAATGCGTAGAAAAACAGCAATAACAACGGACGATTTCTGCCAAATGAATTTCCTAAAACCGCAAAAATGTTCTACATAATTTTGTTTTACGTGCGTGTAAATTCAAAGCGTCAATGATATTTTTGCGAACTTCTGGTGTAAATATTATTATTTAATCTCATATTTAACATAGTTTCTATTTTTTAAATAATGTTTGTTCTTCTGTATTTTTCAGTGTGTTCTTTATGTTTTGAGTAGCGATTTAATTTATTTAACCAGGCCAGCTCACCGTCCAGATCTGGTTGATTAAAATCACATAATTATTAAATTTTTATTACTATTTTTCAGTTAATTTTGTAAGGTATTTACTTATTTTATCTAACCAGTTGTTTACGACAAGTACCTTTACTTTCATTATCTCTTTCCGTTTTCCGGCCAGTATGATAATTTTAATTAGAGATTATTCAAATGCGGAAGAAAGCGATAGCATTTAAAGGGAGGTTTCAAATTGTTTTAACAGAGCGCTTCCCGCCTGCTAAAGGCCAAGTTACTAGTGTTGAAATTCTTATGATAGCTATCTGTCTTCGGCTTTGCTTTATTCTTGCCAGTAGTGTTTGTCACGCCAGTACAGGTTTGAGCCAACTTGCGAAATAATAATTTCTGTTTAAGCTTTAATTAACTTACTGCTTACCCTGGTTTTAATTGGCGATTCCTTATTTTTGAGTCACGTTGTAAATGATGGCTGGCTTTGTAAGCATAAGAAGTTTCATTTGGCCATTTATTTGACTTCCCTCTGCCTCTCAATAAAAAGGTCTATTACACCTTCTTACGTTCTCTGTTTGATTAACAAGAGATGGCGATAATTCGCTTTAATCTCGATTTAATGTATGCTTCCTAAGAAGGTTGTGAGGGTTAACATAAAACTGTACAGAAAACACACACACACAAAGGGGGGAGAGTTATGCACTTGATTTAACACTGAAGACTTATGACAAATAAAACACACTTATAAATAATACTACACATATACCACATGTCAAATACATATATTGTACATTGTAAGGTGTGTTTACAGACGAGGGGCCATAATATAGGATTATCATGTGCATGCTGGACAATGATATGGGGGACACGGAAAGGTCCTGGCGAATATATATTTGTGGAGCGCATAGGTTGCTGAGTGTACGAGCACGCCGAGCGCGGTGAATGTTAGCAGCACAGGGTCATGTGCACGTTGACTTCTGTTAGTGGCGAACGTTGACCTTACGGTAAGCTTCATCACGTTAGAGAACAATCTTGTGGTTGGTGTTAAAGTGCCGTCTGGCACTAGATGTGCGACACACGACACTTCCCCCGCACAGGGATACATAATGCTTTCCTATTGTGTTCAATGACTCCAAATAATTCTGTCCAGGTCTCTTGATCGTCCACTATGAATGTTTAATTTTGCCTTTTTTGGTGGAGTCATTTGTGAGGGTTCAAGACCGTTAGACCGTTCAAGACCGGAATAGCAGTAACCGTTAATCCGGACATCTCTTTGCTAAACTTCTAACTTTGGATATCATATGCTCCTTTTCGGCTTTCTTAGGCTTATTTCGGCTGAGCGCATGTGAATAAGCTTGGTTTTCCTACTAAGCTTTCGTGTTTTGCTATATTATAAAATTGCGTGCTTTTACATTACATTTGTACATTCCGTGTAAGATATTAAATTAAAATTATTCATAAGTCACCTCGAAATGCTTAAATCTGAAAACTGGACTCTATTAAACAATGAAAGTATTAAAACTCACAATTTATCTTGCGCGGGTTTTTTTTTTTTTTTTTTTTTTTTTTTATTTTGCGCCAAGAATAATTGGCGAACTTCGTAATATATGGCAACCCATTTTCCTTTTCCTTCCATGGTGCAGGACCAGAATTAAAGTAATATTGTTGCTTTTTTAAGTTGTGCATGAGCGGAAAAAAAAACTACGTCGTTCCTACTTTCAAATAATTTTAACAAAGTGCCTAAGCCACATTTGATGTTATTATCGCTTTCAACAAATGTGCCAAATTTCAAAACCTGCCAACATATAAATTTGAGTATATCTTCGGAAATTTTGAATATAATACTGTAATTTTTTGAGGTTATGCTTAGATATCTATCTACTTTAAGCTGATGGTAAAACTTTTACAGGTTATAATTCAAAATTGTTTTCGAAAAATTTATAAGAATTATTTAAAAATACGAATTTTAAATATAAATCATAAAGAATGGGGGAATTTTATTTGGAATGTGAAAGATGAAAAGAAGGATCAAATAAGTTTAATAAAAGAAGAGAGAATAATAAATATATACCAAATTCAATTAACACTGAGGAGCTAAAATTTTGAGAACTAATTTTTTAAAAATCCCTCGTGCGATTTTTACAATATTTGGCAGTTTGGCATAATTGAGCCGTAGAATCGAAATATGGAAAAAAAAATGACATGCCATTTCAGAAAAAATCCGATGTTGTGTCAAAATACCTATATAAGAACAATGCTATATATAAATCTAATACATAACCTAAGTCGCGCTTTCGAGACATGAAAAACGCAAGTTGAATTTCGTCAATCGGTCCAGTAGAAAGGAAGATATAGAACTGTCCTATTTGTTTTCGAAGATATGTGTATCTTTCTATGCTTTAAGCTAATGACTATCTATTTCGTAATTTCTGTTTGGCATTTAAATTAATATCGTAAATTTTAGACTAAAGAAAAGTAAAAGACAGAAGAGAAACACCCTCTAAGTAAAACTGAAGCAACAGCCTGTGTTAGGAGTAGATTTTAGCTAGAACTCTGTCGATTCGAGACGATAAAATCCCTCTTCATCTCTTTTAATTTTGCAGATTTCATTGCTCCTGATGAAGAGGGGTTTTGTTCGCCCTCGAAATCGATAGATTTTTCTATGCTAAAAATCTACGCCTAACACAGGTTGTTGCTTCACTTTTATAAAGAAAAGTGTTCTAAATTTGTACAAATGTGTCAGATATAAACGTCTACGAATTTAACAGAGTTTTAATATTTTTATTTTCAGCAACCTGCACAGATGACACTGACTGCGTGTACGGGTACTGTCTGGAAGAAGATGACAAACCAAAACACTGCAAATGCTTCATCGGCACGAGTGGTGACAAATGCCATCTAATTGATGACTGCGAAAACAATGAATTAGACTGTGGTAATGATACTAGTATCAAGTGTTCTTATGCAGGTGGCATGTACGGTAAAGCCTACTGCGCATGTCCTGACAAAAATCTGCAATTTGATTACGACACCAAAACTTGCAAAGGTAAGAAGTTTTGATGCAATATTGAGTATTTCCCCTTTAAAACCCATTAGGGGAATAAACTAAATATTGCTGAGAAAAAGTAATCGCATGATTATTGCCATCGAGGAGGAAAATATACGTAAAATAACATTAAAAATGTCTGATCTGGGCACCACTTCACTACCTTGTGTTGCATACTAAACTATATGCATTATTTCTGTATTGCATTTAAAACTTATTTCCTCGAATTTCACTAGAAATATATTTCTCATTCAATAAATCAGTTCTCACTTCGAGGCAAGGCTAAAGTACATAAAAACTCATAGCATATTCATTTAAAATCCTAAAATACAGAAAAACATAAACTACCAAATACAGTTAAACATAGTTAAAAAAAATTTACAATTAAAATTACCAATGGGCAAGAAGACCCAAATTTGGGTGCATAAAATTGAAAGGTAACTTTTGCGCTACTGGGCAAAAAGTCACTGAAGTTGGTGCATCAACTGAATTCACTTTTCTTTTAAGAGTTTCAAATGTAAACAAATGGCGGTTTCTTTAGGGTTAGCACCATTTAAACAAATTTTAAATTTTTGAAAATTTTACAACTATTACATGCAGATTAATGAAAAGCATAAAAACGTGAACCGGAACATAAGAAGAATCGTTTTAAATCGTTTTTAAAGGAAAAAATGCAGAATTTACCACCATATAAGAACAAAAATATTGACCTCACCGAACTTGTTAACAGATTGGGCATATATATATAGAAATTAGAATTTAGTCGAGGTTCAATTAATAAAATGTACGAAAGTACTAACAAGTTCAAAATTAGCGCTTAGTGGTGCTTAATTTTAATTGAATTTAAAAAGTCGAGAAGATAATCCAACGAAGCTATAAGAATATCTTTCTCCTACCTAATTCCGTTTTTGAAATACATCATAATAGGGAATTACTTAAAAAAACAAATATTGAACAGTTAAATATAGAACTAAATAAGTGAGGGACCTAAATGGCAAACAAGGAGTATCAAAATAGGTTAATCTCTTTTATTCAGAGCTTGAAGTCAGAACTTGTCTAGGGAAAAGTGTTTTGTAGCTTCAAACAACTTTGATTAACTAGACAGACTATACAAGTTCCGTTCCAACTAATTTACTGAGACTAAGAACACGGTAAGGTAATTAGATCAATTTACTGTCTCATTGAATTTGTCTTTTCAGCTGTCTATGCTCAAAAAATTGAGATTTGAAATTATATATCTACACTTTTGCAGCTGACAGTTGCAAAGAAAAAGGGAGATGCGCAACTACATGTTATAGCAGTCCCATATACTAATTTCAACTTTCTGAGGTTATTCGTTTTGGGGTTATGCGAGATACATACATACATACCTACGTACATATGTACAGGCGTTACAAAAAGACCTCTCTAAATTGGGTTCAAATATATTTTACAATCCATTTTGGCAAAATATGTCCTTTATTCTGTCCATACGGGCGATGGCACGCAAAAACAACTCCAAAAGGGATTCCGAAGCGGTCAAAATTGATACTTTCGTTGAAATACGATACCTGAAATGTTTCGCAATTACAATACTTTCTTTACTTCGTACAATGATTTAGAAAGTATCCACATGCTCGAAATTATTTATTATTTAAGTTCATTAAAAACGTTTTGTCTAACAATCATAAAATTCAGGGACAAAGCAAACTAAATGAACCTGTTTCTGAGAGATAAATTCTCGTTTTAAGTGTTTTAGTTCAAAAAAAAAATTACTAATATCAATTCTCGGTTCAACTTGAAACGACAAATTTATATTTAAAACGAATAATTATATACATTTAACAGTCTCAGATGATATAGTGGTTTGTGAAGCTGACTACCATACGAAGAGTCCGGGCTCGAATCCCGGAGAAGGCATGGATATTTGTAAGGACATGGTGCACTCAAAACGCTCATCCAGCCGAAAACTGATGTTATTTTGTGGTACGAAAAGTACGTTTGGGTCTTAATTTGTGGTACGAAAAGTACGTTTGAGTGTTATTTTGTAGTACGAAAGTACGAAAAGTACGTTTGAGTGTTATTTTGTGGTACGAAAAGTACGTTTGGGTCTTATTTGTGGTACGAAAAGTACGTTTGGGTGTTATTTTGTGGTACGAAAAGTACGTTTCGGTGTTATTTTGTGGTACGAAAAGTACGTTTGAGTGCTATTTTGTAGTACGAAAAGTACGTTTGTGTGTTATTTTGTGGTACAAAAAGAAGGATAGGAAGATCTCAGAATCATCAACAGGGTGCTGTCCATCAAAACTGGGGTGGAACTGAGGAAAGTGGTACTGCTATCTGTACGATGCTCAATGTCCATGCCAACGACATACGCAGTCTTTCACTTCTAGCCACTGTAGCATTCATGCCGCCGTCGCTGACTGTCGTGGCGAATTCCCAGGGTTAGAATCTCGGGAAACGCATGATGTTTGTAAATGTATAATGTCCGTGAGGCATGGGGGCACTCTAATTATGCTGCGAGCCGAAAGTCCTCTCGACGAGTTGGTGGTAATCGGAAGAGAAGTGGGAGAGTCTCGCACACATTCCATGGGTGCTCTCCATCATATTGGGGGCGGAGCTGAGCTAAACCGTACTATAAGATGCTCAAGGCTGTTGCCAACGACAAACGTAAACTTGCGCTCTTTGCTTCGTAGGCTTGGGTTCACTATAGGTCATAAGTGAGCATTAGCAACAACACAACATTTATAAACTTGTTTTGATAATGTCAGATAAACGAGATTAGCCGTAACAACAGCAAATGTACTTAAACCTCTTAATATTTTATAAAATTACATACAAACCTTCTCTGACTTCCAAGTAATGGAATTCGAAATTAAATTGATTACGTAAAACAGAACTTAAAGATTGTTATCCCAAAGGGGCGTTACCCCAGAAAGGCTATTAATGGCGAAATGGCGTTTTCATTCGGATCGCGATAAATGTCCACTTCCCTTTTCAAATCGTTGCCACAAAATATTATCACCCTGTATTGTATTTTAAAAAATTAGCGACAAAATATTATTACCTTAAAGTTGGTATCACATTAAAATTGATATTGTATTAAAATAAATAATAAAAGATCTGAATGGATGTAGGTATTTAGATCTTTAATGTCTGTGTGAATATTTCTTGCACTCTGAAAAAAAATCACAATACCTGCAGCCATTAAATTTTGAGCAACGTACTGCTGTACCCAAATATAGCCATTTGGAAGCCCGAATCTTGAATTTCGAATTTATTTTATTACCTGTTTCAAATTTTTTTAATTTTAACAAATTTTTGATTAAGAAAGTCACCGATTTCAAAGCGAGCATTGGGAATGCACTGTACTGAATAAAATATTTTTAGCTCCAACCCGCAAGACTGTCTATTGGAAGTTCTAAAGATATGCTTTGAATCAAGTCCAGAGTGTTTAATATCTGAAACTTTACGGGATTTTAAACTTTTATAACTTTAACTCAAACTGATTCATGGTGCCGGACAAAAAAAATTTAAAAAATATAATCATCATATGAACATTCATATATCATATAACATAAGAAGGATCGTGTAGTGGTAGTACAAATTAAATTTTAGGTTCGCGTTGTGAGTAACCTATGCAAAAGAAAAATCAATAATCCAAATTCAATAAAAGCTCCATGTTTCTTAAAAACCCTTCCGGCTCAAACAAATGGAGGGACATGACAGACCACAGTAAATTAACACACAAAATAAGCAAGTGCAATTAAAATTCTTAATCAAGCACATTTATTAAATTCTTGAATGTATTATATTATTAGTAAATACTTGGGTAACTGATCAGTACGCTCTACCACATATTTTTACTATGAAAATATCGCATCTGTCACACAAAATTTCAGCTTACAATAATTAAAACATTTAATTAATAATGAACTTTTTTCCCACAAATTAAGAATGTGTAACTTATTTTAATTCTCCAAATAAATGGTCCATATTAATTAGAAACTAACATTTTCTGACTCACAAACTCAGTAGGTGAAACAAATTTTAATCATTCTAAAACTAGCCATCACTTGAAATAATAAATCACTTCTCAATGTTACTAACTAGCTATATTTTATTTATATAATTAATGACAATATATACATGGTAGATAAATCATTATTATCTGTTCCACCAAGGCCTTGGGAAAACTAAGAAAAGAGAGAAAATAATCTTAAAAATTTTCACTCACAGATGGAAGACAGTTTTTCCAGGTAGCAGGATCCTTTGTGTCCAATCCACAGGAAAATAAGCCAAGCTCATTTTACCTTCTGTCTCAACCCTTTCGGAAGCATCTAAAATTATTAGAAATCACGAGTGGTAACTACAGTCTAATAATTCTTTAAAACAGCCAGGAATCGCGTTTATCTGTCCATTAGGACCTGGGAACCAATAGTTCCAATTTAGAAGGATCTTTATTTCAATTCAATAACAGGTAGCTGAACATACACCAGGTTTTAGCCACGATCACTTGCATCATCGAAGCGGCGAAACAACATTTTGTGCTGAATGTCTTCGGAAAAAGGCTCTTGGAGATAAACCTGGTGATTCGGGTGAAGAGAGAAAATCTGTGCTAAATTTTCCTGGTGGATTGCTCTATATCTCGCACTAAAGTGGTAACCAGCTCTCAATCAAATGCTCTTTGCAGCTCATACCTCTCGCACTAAAGTCGTAATCAGCTCTCAGTAAAATGCTCTTTGCAGCTAGCGCACGTTTCTCTAAACATCTCGCAGGAAAATGTTCCTTGCATCTCTCACACAAAACTTTTAAACATCTCGCAGAAAAGAATGCATCCACTAGAGCAAGGGATAAAAAACGCAACTCAAGGCCTCTTGCTCAGGAAGCCCGCAGCAGGGCAAAACGCTCCTCGATCTTTTTTTTCTTTCACATCGCGGCTGCTCAAAATTTACTTAAATCAAATTCCGCTACAATCATAATCGCAGCCCGCAGGTTCACGTCACTCGTGAGAGCAAGACCCGCAAGGGGTCAAGCCCCCAGTCTTTTCTTCTTTTTCTTTCTCTTAGCTCGAAAATCAGAATCAGAATGAACTCTAGCCTGGTGCAAGTACCGAGGTAAACTCTCCTCTCCGCCCCCCGAAAATTTCACTGGCTTACAAGAAATCATAAAATTAAAATCACACCATGCCAGAATTTTACTTTATCTAAACTGAGAAAAATTACACCCCCACAACGAATCAAAAACAAGAAAAATCTCAGAATGGAGTCCAAAAAAGTAGAATTATTAGACTGTAGTACACACAATGTGAGAAGTAAAGTGGACGCCCCCCAACTAACAAGCGGAAACTAAGCTTTACGAAAATCCAATTACCTAAGCTTACAGATAGCCCTCGAGGCTTTGCCATAATCACACACACACACACAGATTGTGTCCTAAGCTTACAACAACCCCCACTGTTTTGAAGTAAACAAAATTGCAACTATAACAAGGCGAAAGCGAGACGATTTTCGTTTCAAACACCATTAGTAAAAGGCGACAACACAACACACTATTGCCTCCATTGTTAGTAAAAAGGGCAATAAACCAGATGTTTCCTCGCAACCGTCTCTCACCTTTGTTGCACTTTCTACTCAATAACGAGTTAAATAAAGCTTTAACAAGTTAAGAAACACTTTTTACCGAATTAAAATATACATGAATACAAATAAATATACCAGAATAATGATAACTTAAAACACATATTAATAATTAAAATTCGTGACATAACAAGAGCGAATAGTCCAAATCTGGTGAATCAGCTGCTCTACCGATAGCACAAGGATGTAATATCAGTCGTAGCTTTTGTTGGATTCTCGGTCACGAGATGGCTTCCAGTCTGAGCTTACTCCTGTAAATCTAACAGAAAGCAATTACAAACTGCACAGAACTGCGTTCTGAGGCAGCTCACTGGTATACCAGGAACAATACAATGCACGAAAAGCTAAATATTGTTCAGCTCAGAATATTCTGTTGCCAGCTTGGAAGAAACTTTCATGTAAAATTAAGAAATTTAATAATATTGAATTATGATTTTAAAGATATTAACAACTAAAACAGTCCTATGCCCATTTTAAGCGCAAGTTTTATTACCGAAACCTCATGTCATTTTGCTCAGTTTATTCTGTATGTATTGCTTTTGTATTTTTATGTCTCGAGATTTCCTTGCACTACTTTGTGTCACTTAAGTTCTGTTTCTCATTAATCAATCTTTAAGCTCTAATGTTTATATAGACATAAATTGTACATAAATGTACTAATGTACTAATGTTTATATAGACATGTATTAACGTACTAATGTTTATATACATATAGCGCTAATGCTTATGTAGACATAAATTGTAGACATACAATCGTACTTACTCTTTAAGCGATAATGTTTATATAGACATTATTGTAGTTATTTTGAGAAAAATTTAGAAAATTGCTATAGAAGAGTTAAGGCACAGTGACAAGGCACTCTTGCGTGTCCAAACACCGTTTCACAGAGCTAAACGTTCTAGAATTTGCGTTTTCGAGCTTAAAGAGCGAGTGTTTAGTCACTGAGGGGTGAGCAGAGGGAAATACTTTACATGGAAATTGTGTCTATCAACCATTGTAATCTCTTAATCATTTTCAGATTGCCGTTGTGGTATTTATGGCTTTGGATGCAGAACGTCGAACGGTACCAGGGAATGCGTTTGTGGTTACAGAACTGGTGATAAGAATGGATACTGCGTAGGTGAGTTTATTATGGACAATGAAATTACATTCCATGATGGATATTTCATTTAAATTGCATTCTTAAAAGTGAACACCTTTTGAAATCTGCTCAGTTGATGAATAACCAGTCCTACGGTTCCTCACTCTTATTCTACTAGGTAAATGTCGAGTAACCAAGTGAACTATTAAGCGACTTATCGACTTATTAGTTCAAATAAGAGGAATCGTAATCTCAAGAAGAGTTATCTACCTTTTTTTCACTCAAAGTAAGATTAACAGTCGGCCCCTTTCCTCTGGCTTACAACAAAGCCTTCACTTGAGCTTAAAAATAAGAAATAAGAACTAACGTTATCTAAGAGAGACTTAAGCGAAGCTAACACAAATCTAACGTAGTTGGTTTGATTTGGTTTATTTAATTACTGCAAAGCACACTAAGACTATCTGCCTAAAGGGAGGGATACCTTGGTGGAGGACTTTCTAAGGACTATACCTTACACAGTCACTTAACGTATTCCTTTTGGAGCAAATACAGTAAGTCTTCGATTCTAAAATACCGCTTATAACATGTGTTTGTTAATTTAACTTCAACCAACAAGAGAAGGACATTTGTCTCTGCGTTTGTTATTAAATAATGAGCATTCAATATTTATGTTCTTCACATTGCGAAAAAACGCCTGCACTTAGACCTATGAAATATTGCACACACGTAATCTTCTAAACTCGGAGATTAAAACGCCACGTATTGCCACTCTGTGGAGCGTAAGTTATTTATGCTTAAATCTAATAAAAAAAAATCACTATCATAAAAGAAGAGTGTTGCATCTAAGCAAAAAGCGATACATTTCTCTTTCGAATTGTATATAGATAAACTCCGCGATTTAAACGAATTGTGTTGCCAATGCACGATATAAAATATTTTTTATCTTTCACACTTCAGTTTATTGCCATTTGGCGAAGCGTAAGGTATTTTTTTTAAATAAAATTCCAATTTAAAGCGCCTGTCATTAATTGAGTATTAAGAGATTTATAAGCAATAAACGCATTTTTATATGTATATATTGATACTACCAGGACCAGGAAAATTAATCTAGCTACATTCATTAAAAGCGTCAAATAAATTTTTTTCTTTCTTATAGTAACTATATTAGGCAGCTGAAGCTGGCAGCGGTAAGTTCCTTACAAACTAAAATACACCAAATTAAATTACAAAATCTACGTAACACGTTTTTAAAATAGTAGACACTGTTTGGTTAAAAATTTCAATTTTAAGTTTTGTTTTAAGTTGGTCATATAAAAAATAAATTCTTTCTAATCGGTTAAAAATTTGAAACAACTTGAGTTTCTAAACCCTCCACTCTCGCTTTTCTAAGACACCACTTATAAGATGTATTTATTAATTTCACTAAAACCAACAAGACAAAGTCTTTTGTCTCTTCGGCTCTTATTAAATAATGAAGATTCTGTATTTATGCTTCTCGCATGGCGTAAAACTTAGACCTATCAAAGTTTCAAATTGAATAAAGGAAATTCGGCAATTTAAAAGAAATGTGTCGCATCTTGGCAAAACGCGATATATTAGGCCATATAAAAAGTTTTTTTTGGTACATTTTTGAACAAAAATTTTCTTTATTGAAAATCAATTTTAATCAGGTGCATATTAACCATTATTATCTATGACCTTTTGCCATTTTTCGGGTAGCTTCACAATTCCATCGGTGAAGAACTTCTGTGGTTTATCATCGAAAAACTTGGCCAAGTGATTTTCAGTTGCGGTTCGGTCGGCCAAATTTTTACCATCAAGACAGTTTCGCAGAAACCGAAACAAATGTTACTCAGATGGTGCAAGGTCCGGGCTATATGGTGCATATATCAAACTTCCCAACCAAGTTCCGTCAATTTGTTCCTAGTCATCAAAGACGTCACCAGTCTTCGACCATGATCGATTGCGTTTGATATTCTCGTATTTACGCATTTTTCATCTCCTGTAATGATTCGCTTCAAAAATGGTTCCATTTCGTTGCGTTTCAGCAGCCTTTCACTGATGGTAACTCGGTCAACGAAATTTCTTTGCGTTAATTCGTATGGCACTCAAACATCGAGCTTCTTTTTAGAAATGATTCAAAACTGTCCTGTTTAGTGCCTCCGCTGTTTCCTAACAGCTTGCGTGCCGGTCTTGCTCCACTAATTGCAAAATTTCATCGACTTTTTTCAGTGACTGGCCGACCAGAGAGAGGTGCCTCTTTTTAAACATCGAGATTCCCAGGAATCGAGCAAACCACTCCTTCATTCACTCACAGCATTCTCACCGTACACTCCACAAATTTTTCGACATGTTTTTATCTTTTTTATAGTTAAAAAATTATCACACAGCGTATGTCTTCAGATATTTCACTCATTTTCTACACGAGCAACGAATTAGAAAGCAATCTTCACAAACAATGGAAGCTGAATGTCACCTTTTAAACAAATGTTCGTTTGAGACAATCGGGTGAGTTTTGCCGGATATATATATATACATTAGAGAAAAAACCGCGAAGAATTTTTCTATGACCCAATATTTCTCTTTCGAACTATATTCACAAACAGATGCAATAGATAAATATATCGGAAAAAAATCTTCCATCTGACCATCTCCGGAAGCATAAACTAACATAAGACTCAATCCGAAAACTAAGCGACTTATTGCTATGTTTAACAAAGAAACGTAAAATGGTGTAAACAGAGAAACGTAAAAAGGTGTAAAAGACCCTTTAATTCAAACTTAGCACTTTAAGAGAAGGCACTTCTTTTGAGTACAGAACCAGCCAGCACTTATGCCGTAACTCAGAAGTAAAGAATTCAAATTAGAGCTAAGTTAAATAAGTCGTAAGATATTTAAAGACTAATGTGACAGAATGAATAACGCGCAAGTTGGCTTGAACCTGATACCGGGCTGACGAGCCTGGTATTAGGTTTAAGCCAACTAACCTAGTACCAGCCAGGTTTAAGCCAACTAATCTAATACCAGCGAGGTTTAAGCCAATTAACCTAATACCAGCCACGTTTAAGCCAAATAATATAATGCCAGCCAGGTTTAAGCCAATTAACCTAATACCAGCCAGGTTTAAGCCAACTAATATAATGCCAGCCAGGTTTAAGCCAACTAATATAATGCCAGCCAGGTTTAACCCAACTAACCTAATACCAGCCAGGTTTAAGCCAACTAATATAATGCCAGCCAGGTTTAAACCAACTAATCTAATACCAGCTTGGTTTAAGCCAACCAACCTAATACCAGCCAGGTTTAAGCCAGGCTGACGAGCCTGGTATTAGGTTAATGGCGAGAATAATGCAGCGCTGTACACAGACATCAATCGAGAGTTTCAACTAGTAACGTGGCCTTCAGCAGCCGAAATACGCTGTGATTAAATAATCCGAAACTTTTCTTTAAATACGAAGTCTTTCTACCACATTTGAAAACGCGCGAACAAAAATTTCCATCCTGGCAGGAAATGGAGAATGACAATAAAGTTATTGAATATAAAATAACTGGTTAGTTAAAAATAAATAAATCATTCGATGTTTGTTCATAAAAGAAAAATGGTTCTAAAATCATCTCATGCAGCATCCCACCCAAAACAATCACTTCAGAGTTGCCCTCTTTCAATTCTTTTGTGTCCTGAACGTTCGGATCTCCAAATTCTAACATTATGTGTGTCTTATATCAAAACAAACTGTTGAGGAAAAAAGCTATATATACGTTTAAGAACACCACAGAATATTACAGCAGTAACGCAAAATGTTACTCTTATGATTAATGACAACAATTTGGAATTGTAATACCCCATGGGAGAAAATTTTAAAAAGTTGCTAAACCCTCTCACCAGCATTCAAGTATTAAGCACCTTCCAGATAACCTAATTATTAAAATTATAGTGCCCTAGAAAATACATTTGTTTTATTATCATCTTATGAACGCACTTTCTCATTTTCAATATTAATGAATCAGAATAATTATTAATCCAAAAGGGAATTATCCTAGAAGGGATATTAGTCTCGAAACAGTATTTTTTGTCGAATCACTTTGATGCGATACATCCCTTTTCAAATCGTTGCCACCAAATATTATCGCCTTGCATTCTACTTAAATTAAATAATGAAAAATCTATATGACTGTATGTATGTTTCTTGCACTGGGAAAAAAACGATACCTAGAGTACTGTTGAATACCCTAGTCCCATGTTCATGTGGAGGACTAGGCTAGAATTTTGAATAGCCTAGTCCTCCAGATGAACATGGGCACCTGGAAGTCAGAATTTAGAATTTGTTTTAGTGTCTATATCATATTCTGTAAAATTTTAAGGAGTATTTGATTAAAAACCTCAACAATTTCAAAACGAGTAGTGGCAACTCTGAAGGGAATAAAACATTTTTATTTCCACCGCGTGAGACATTATACCGAAAATTCTAAAAATATACTATTTTTAAATATTTGTAGCCCAAAGTGGCGTTCCTCCAAATGCTCTCGAAAAGTGTATGTATCTGGAAATGAAAAACGCCCCTTGGGCGAAATATAAAACCTGAAAACATTCAGATTTTATTTTATTTTATTTCTATTTTTACACCAAAGGGGCTTTGTCCCTGAGGGACTATTGTTTCTGTTTTGGGATTTTGCGTCGAATAACCCCGAATGTCCGTTTCACTTTTCAAACTGTGGCCACCAAATATTATCACCCTGTTAGTTAGTTCTAGCAGGCGTTCCCCAGCCCACCTAGCAGGCGAAACCTGCCATATGGCTATGAGGGGACAGGCCAAGCCACAAAGGCATTAAAAAAAAAAAAAAAAAAAAAAAAAAAAAGTAGATACATTCATTCCAAAGACTCTCGGTGAAATAGTATATAAATGTGTCGTTTCTATTTCTGTGTATTTTCTTATGTTTAAGATATTTATAAGTTTTATTTTCAATTAGTTATTATTATTCAAATCTTCTTTAATTCATCTTAAATTTATAAGTTACATCAATTATTTCTGTTTTCAGTATGATTTTCTGCTTTGTTATATCTCGATACGAATCTTCTTATTCTCATTCACAGTTTGCATAATATCTCTTGCAAATTTTCTAAACAATTATCCCCCTGCTTTATCTTTGAAGAAATTAAATAATGCAGAATCTGCATAAATGCATGTGTATTTCTCGTATTGTGATAAAACAACGGTACCTAGAGCCATCGAATTTTGAATGACGTAATCCTACTGCGAATATGAGCATCTAGAAGCCCAATTTGAAATTTGGACTTGGTTTTATTATCAATTTCATATTTTGTAAAACTTTAACGATTTCATATTTGTAAAACTTTAACGATTAACAAACTCAAGAATTTCAAAGTAAGGAATTGCAACGTTGTAGAGAAAAAACATTTTTATCTCCAGCGCGTGATAATGTGTATCGGAAATTCTAAAGATATGCTCATTTTAAAATAATTTTGCGATATTGCTCTTGAACTGAATGTTATGGTTTAAGCGAGAAGAGTATAATATTTAATAAAAAAAAGGTAACACACAAAATGTTTAAAAAAAAGTCCTTTTAGACGTAATTTAACATCTGAAACCCTTCAAATATATTTTTTTTTTTTTGTTTGTTTGTTTGTTTTCTTTTTCAGAATGTGATTGTTTAACTAACTCCTTCGGATGCTTCTTTGACGATAATGGTAAACATTGCATCTGTGCAGAAGGCTATTCTAGTCTCTTTGGAGAATGCAAAGGTATTGTGGATTGACTTTGTTGTACATACTTTAAAACTCTTACATTATAATAACAAAACTGATGTATATACCACATGACTTCCTTGTACGGAATATTAAAATACATGAATTTTTTCCGCATTTGATTTAAACTTATTTGCTCGAATTTCATTAGAAATATATTTCGATTTCTCATTCATTTAATTCAATTCACTTCGTGGCAAGGCAAAAATGCATAAAAACTCAAAATAACTTCATTAAAAATTGAAAAATGTACAAAAACATAAAACACGAAATACTGTTAAAACAATTAAAAAAAACCCTTTTACAATTAAAATTACAGTTCCTACCCAAAAATAAGCAATTCGGCCAGCGGGCAAGAGGGCATATTTTTCGGTGAAAAAAACTAAAAGTTTACGTTTGATCCGACTGGGCAAAATGACACTGAAGTGCAGAAAGACCTTATTCACTATTCTGCCAAGTTTCAAAGGTAAAGAAATATGGCTGCTATGGTTGAAAAAAATCGACCTAGCCGCTCTTAAACAATTTTAAAATTGTTGATAATTCTACAACTGTTGCATACAGATTAACTAAAGGCATAAATCCTTAATCGGAAGATAAGAACAACATAATTCAACAATTTTTAAAGCAAAAAATGCACAATTTACCAATATGTAAGAACAAAAAACTCAGCTCACTGAGGCGAGTCACAGAGTGGGTAAATATATATACAGTGTGATTCTAAATTGCTTTTACAAATTAAGAGGGCTGATAGTATCCATCCAGACGACCCCTAATTACCATAGAACATAGCACTTGCCTCTCATAGTGGAATGGGACTCGCATTCCACTCTGGGAGGCAAGAAAGAGGAAAGTAGAAACGCATCGAGGAAGAACAAAGAGACTATCTCCTAAAAATATCAAGAATTAACCGCATGCAAATTTGCATTGAGAAGCAGCAGAATTTTGCTCTTAGTTGGTACCGGAGCATTTGGGCAGGCAGGTGATTACCTGGTAGGCCCTTACATCATGTCAGACCGTTTAACCGGCGCATCAGTACAGGTTTATTACAAGCTGTTCCGCTCCCCAAGACATGTAGTTTATGCACGATGGAGCCCTAGCACATTTTTTCGTCGCGGTTCGTAACTTTTTTAAAGCCACATATATCACCCGATGGATCAGACGTGGCAGACCTGTGGCTTGGCCTCCTTGCTCACCGTACCTCAACCCAGTGGACGTTTCCTTCTGGCGGGCACATGAAATCTTTAGTGTACAAGACACCTGTGGACTCAGATGAAGATCTCGTGGCGAGAATTGTTGTTAAGCGGACAAAATTAACACGACCAGGAATCTTCGAACGGGTGCCCCAGTCATTCCTTCCCCGACCTCAACCAAAGAATATGTATTGTTAAGAAGGAAAACTTCGCAGCAGCAGGAGTGGCTCCCTTCGAACGAAAAGGGAACAGCTGCGCATGCGTGAAATATCTGTCGCCAAAAAGCGCCAAATCTCGAAGCTGATGTCGAAGTTTGAACAGGTTCGACGGTCACGTTTATCAAGAGTTTAAAGCTGTGTGACTCCATTTTTTCCCACCTCCTTTGGGCGCCTTGTACAAGCCTCCCATGTGGCCTCTCTGGCTTTACTCTGGATAAGGACGGACGTGGCCCTATATGCTAATTAACTTAATAGTAAAGGGGTGGTGGCCACGTCCTCCGTCACTATCACTATCCCACCTCCATATTGATGGATATAAAATCAGACATCAAACTGCGATATGGATAATGCAAGATCAACAGCCAGTCAAAGCGGAACTTCATCTAATTTTCTTATTCATCTTACCCGTGTTCCTCAATTCCCTGTACACGTCGCGGAGGAGGTAAATGTCGGCCAGGTCCGGTACATCACAGAGGGGGAAATTCTCGCCAACAGGTTCCATCACCAAATCCCTTGGCGATTTTCCTCTTCTAGCGGCGTAGAAGACAAACTGGTTTACATTACGCCTATGGAGCCTTTTCTTCTTTACATAGACGCTCTTTGTGTCAGCACGCGTGGTTGGCCTTTTGACCAACTTTCTGTGAGTTTTTCACTAAATAATAAATCTGATCGCGCATATTTTAGTCTTGTTCATTCACTTTCCGAACATTGTTGTAAGTTCAGGTTGAAATTGTAATATTCCTCTTTTCTGCCTCTCAGAGTGGAATGCGACCCTATGTTCTATGGTAATTATTGCTCGTCTGGATGGGTACTATTACCCCTCTTAATTTGTAAAAGTAATTTAGAATCACCCTGGATATATCATTTGAAAACTTTTTAATACCATCTCCAAGGAACAGACATTCAATTAAAACCATAAATTATTATAATAAATAAATTTTTATACAGTATTTTAATTAGTATTTCTAGACTTCTATAGCAGTACAAACTACAAATACATTTATATACTTTCGGCACGGCCGATTGCAACCAATAGGGGAGGTGAACAACTACATGTTATAGCAGTCCTGTATAAATAACGTTCTGAGGCTACTCGCTTTTGAGTTATGCGAGATACATACATACGTTCCTACAACTCGTAGTACGAGACAGCTCCGCCCTGGAGACGTCACAAAAGAATGCCTCCTGAATCTGTTTGAAATCAGTTTTAAAAAGAGTCCTTTTTTCTGCCCTTACGTACAGATGTCACGCAAAGACATCTTTAAATTGCATTCGTTAGCGGTCAAAATGGATATTTTCGTTGAAATATGAAACCCGGAATTTTTCGCGATTACAATACTCCCTTTACTTCCTAGAGGAAATAATTAGTCGTTCAAAATATAATATCCAGCAGCAAACCGCATTCACAATCTTTCAGTAATGTATACCGTTTTCGTAAAAACAATTACCCTGTCTTTATTTTCGTAACGGATGGCCATAGACATATACTTCTAGTTACAAATGGGTTTTGAACGGCTCAAAGATTCATAGTGAGGCATTTTTTATTTTAAAGAAACAAATTTTGTAAATATTACCAAGTGTAACCTTTGACAAATTCTCCGGCTCCTACTCGTATGTAGAGAAATCAGTATCCGTTCTTAAAACACAATATATTTGACTTCCGTACGACAAAAATTGAAAAAGATATTTAAAGTCAATCATCATATTCAGGAGCTTTACTGATTTTTTAATGAAATATTTGTGGATGCGTGATCTGTGACCTGCCAGGTCATGTGACTTTTTATGGAGTTATTGTCAAGCGAGTGGTTATGTGAACCAAATACAAACTACTCCCGAGCTAAGAGAAATCTAACGGTCCTATTGGCGAAACCGATAAAGAGGTTTGTGACGGAGTCCTCGTGAATTTTACAGACACAGTAACTAACTGCTAGCGGAAAGAGTGAAGATGGACTTTCATCAGATACGATTTCTCAGTCTTAAAATCGAATTTGCAAATAAGAGAAAATAATATAAAAAATTTTGATTTTTTACACGCTTTAACTGATTTAATACATTTACAAATTTATGCAATTTACGATATATATATAAAACACTTGATTTTTTACACCGCTTAAATTGATTTATTGCATTTTTAAAATTTATGCCACATAAAAAATTCTGATTTTTTTAATTGCATTTTTAAAATTTATGCAGTTTACGACACATAAAATATTGCAATTTTTTTACACCGTATTAATTGATTAATTGCATTTTTTAAATTTATGCGATTAATGACACATAAAAAAATTTTGCTTTTTCTTATACTGCTTTAAAGGATTGATTGCATTTTTTTAAATTTATGGAATTTGACAATTATTTTATGAATTTATTTGAATTTAAAATTTTATAAATTTTAATTATAATTTGAATTTTATGAATTATTTTTGAATTTAAAATTTATGGAATTTGACAATAAAAAATTCTGACATTTTTTTTACATCGCTTCAACTGATTTATTAGATTTTTAATATTTACGCAATTTATGACACATCCTGTACTTGTGCAGCTCATTTTAGGCTACAAAGTGACTTTATGTTCACTAGCATGCAGATTCTAACATACTTTTCAAATTAGTTGATTAAATTCTCTTCTTAGATGGCTAACTTAAATATCACTTTATGCAAGACAATTTCTGAACTTTAATGAGCAAAATAATCAATTCTGCATGCAATTAATAATCAAACGTATTTCTTTCCAGAGTGTGACTGCGGTCCACACCAAATTGACTGCAAATACCACAGGGGTGGACCCATATGCAGATGTCAACCAGGCTTCGCGGAGAAAAATCAATATTGTCAAGGTAAAACATTGAATTGCGCCCAAAAAATTTTCAGTGCTTATTTCTCAATTAATGCCACTATAAAAATATGCGTAATTTACATTTCCTAAATGCGCCTTAAAACACTTTAATATAAAAATCCTAAATTCTGGAAGTAAAAAAATCTTTTGCTCTTATAAAATTCAATAATAGAAGTATACAAGACATGTTGCTCATGTTGCTGTAATAGTAATATTTAATTAGTTAGTATATTTATTTATAATCATTACATCATTTAGTTGCCCTTCACCGCTCGGTTGGTCGTGTTTCAAGGAAACTATTTTAGGAAAACTGAAAAATAAAATGGCGCATATTGAAGACCGTTTAGAATTATTATTAAGCCCTTGGAATATCTTGATACAACGGTCTTTATTATGTCGCATAGCAATCTTTCAGAGGGGGCAATATGCAGTTGAATGCTAAGTTTTCTGGAGAGAATTGGCTCACTGGATGTGAGGCAAAACCGACTCTTCTATTTCAAAAACACCGTGTCGTCGTCCTCCATCAACAGACAAGAGTTTAACAATATGACAAGAAAATCAACTTATATACAGAACCGCTGCTCCTGTTGTCTTGTTATACCGAGACAATCAATATGAAATGCATGGGCAGTTTGATTTGGTTTAGTTGACTATGGCAAATCACACTACAGTTATCTGCCTAGTTACAATCAATACGAAAGGCATATGTGGTTCGATATGGTTTAGTTGACTATGGCAAATTACACTAGAGCTATCTGCCTAGTTACAATCAAAACAAAAGGCATATGCGGTTTGATTTGGTTTAGTTGACTAGGGCAAATCACACTAGAGCTATCTGCCTAGTTGCAATATACAAAAAGCATATGTGGTTCGATATGGTTTAGTTGACTAGGGCAAATCACACTAGAGCTATCTGCCTAGTTGCAATATACGAAAAGCATATGTGGTTCGATATGGTTTAGTTGACTATGGCAAAACACACTAGATCAATCAATTACAATCAATACAAAAGGTACAATCAATCAGCCTAGTTACAATCAATACAAAAAGCATATATGGTTCGATATGGTTTAGTTGACTATGGCAAATCACACTAGAGCTATCTTCCTAGTTATAATCAATACTAAAGGCATATGTGGGTTGATTTGGTTTAGTTGACTATGGCAAATCACACTAGAACTATCTGCCTAGTTGGAATATACGAAAAGCATCTGTGGTTCGATATGGTTTAGTTGAGTATGGCAAATCATACTAGATCTATCTGTCTAGTTACGATCAATACAAAAGGCATACGTTGTTTGATTTGGTTAGTTGACTATGGAAAATCACACTAGAGCTATCTGCCTAGTTACATTCAATACTAAATGCATATGTGGTTTGATTTGGTTCGGGAAATACCGAATTCCGGATACATGAATATTTCGGATAAATGAGCGTTAAAAAACGAAATTATCGTTAAAAAAGCAAAATCAGTGTGAAACATTTTGAATCTGCCTAGTTGCAATATACGAAAAGCATCTGTGGTTCGATATGGTTTAGTTGAGTATGGCAAATCAATACTAGATCTATCTGTCTAGTTACGATCAATACAAAAGGCATACGTTGTTTGATTTGGTTAGTTGACTATGGAAAATCACACTAGAGCTATTCTGCTAGTTACATCAATTACGAAATGCAATGTGGTTTGATTTGGTTCGGGAAATACCGAATTCCGGATACATGAATATTTCGGATAAATGAGCGTTAAAAAACGAAATTATCGTTAAAAAAGCAAAATCAGTGTGAAACATTTTGAATCTAAACTATACACATACTCTGTTTTTACGTATTAACGGAACCACCTTAGTACAAAGTCGCCAGACTGGTAACCATGCGCATAACCTTCTTCCTGCAACTATACTTATAACAAAACTTCAGTTAATCAGCGCCGCCATTTTCTTACGCATTTCATTTCTTATGTTGCATTTGAAACTCCAAGGGTATTTTTAAGCAATCAAGGATATTTTTTGCCTTAAACTTAGTTTTAAAATATGAGTTTGTGGGATTTTCCAGTCATGGAAGAAACTGCGTTAAAATTTCAGCAAAAATATAGAATTTTGCTGAAAATTCTCTAAACAGAACGACAAGAAAGTGCGTTTCCTTGATAGCCGGTATTAACTATGATTGCAAGAAATCCAGTCTCCGCAATTCTGTGATTATTTGCTAAGCGAAAACAGATCGCTGTGGACTTCGGGAGAAGAATAGTGCAAAAAAAAAAAATTACAGAAAGATTTTAAAAAGTAATAAATATTTTATTTTTTTAATGTGTCACTTAATTTTTATTTAATATTTCGAATTCGTATTTTAAATTCTTAAAATACATATTGTTTTCAAATTTTGTTAATGTTTCCCGACTTACGACAAATATCCACAGTTTCGGAACCTTTCTTAGTAAAAATTTAAAAACAGAGCGAAAACCATCAACTTGGGTCCGATGAGTAACTTTTATCTTTTCATCTGTAGAAACTCGTCAAATTGCACAAAGTTGGTTACGTAATTACGTAAGTACCAAACAGCCATGTAATTTGTTACCAACTTTAATACCTAGAGATTGATTACATTTAAAATTATATAAAATTTCAAAGGAAAAAAACGCGTATCAGTCATAAAAGCCGACATATTTCAATTATTCTTAAATCTCGCCAAATCGTCAATCCTGCCGGTAGAAGTTTAACACATAGATCGTTCTTTATTAAGTTATGTAACAAAGACATGCAAATTATGGATACAGCAGATAAAAAACTTAAAACGCTTACCATAATTTTTCGCATTAAACGAGGGTCACTCTGAAATGTTTTAGATACACTTATGATTTTTAAAGTTATAGTTACGAAATTTTGGGAGTGTTTAAAGTTCCTTCAGGATCAATGCACTTATATAGGAGAATATTCTAAAGATTAAATGCCTCAAGCTATTCATTTCTTGGAATCGATGAAAAAATGCACTTATAGCCTAATTAATCTCATTTCCGGAATGAAAACGACGTCCACGTAAGTTTGTTTTCAGATTACAAAATAGCCAGAAGTCATACATAGCTAGATCAAGTGAAAATTCTGAATGTTCTCTCACTCTGAAGTGTTTTTGTTCAAGAAATTCAACTCTTAATCTTGCTGAATAAAAAGATGCACTATCATGGTGGAGCATGAGTCCTCTTCTGCAAGACACTTAGCAGTGTACCATATAGCTGTGACTGTCTTCTGTCTTTCCAGGTTGAAGGCCTTCACCAGTCCTGTACTTCTGAAGAAAATGGTATACATTAATTTTTTCATGGCACGTTGTCTTTCACAATTGTGGGAGTAGAATTATCTTCAAAGATACATACTTTACTTTCTTGACGGGTTGCAAAGTCGAAAAATGGTATATACGTTTTATCACCAGTTACGATTTTAGAAATAATGCGGTGGTCACCATTTTTAAGTAATTTAAGGGTTTCCTAACTGGTTGATAGCCAGTGTGGCCTAGGATTGCAAGAAGCCATGTCTCCACATTTTCTGTGGTAATTTTTCTTTTTGGTGCTGAGTTACATTATGGAGAAACCAACGGCAAACTAGTTTTTTCATTTGCAATTCTTCAAGAAAAATTTTATGTATGGCGGTGGAACCAATGTTAACTTCTTTTTGTATCATTTGCTAGGTGCAGCAATTATCACCGATTAACATTTTTCATATGGCAAACAGATTATTACAGCTGACAACGGCCTTCCTTGTATTCTTCATCCTGAAGAGAGTTGAGACCTCTGTGAAATTCTGTAAACCAAAGTGCCATAGCATAAGAAGAAACTTCATTTCAAAATGCTAACTGCAGACGCTGAACGCGTTCTTCTTGATTCAATAGAAAATCATATCGCGGTAATGTTTTCGCGACAACTCCAGTTTTTTTTTACTGCCTAAAATTTATTCTACCCTAAGATACTTGCAACTGGCCAGTAAAAAATTGTCTACTAGGCTAAAATATTTCATATTTTCCAATCTAATTGTTGATTATTTTCTCCCATTTATCCTCTGCGCATATCTCAAAAATTTCACAGTGATCTACGTATCGTCGTTGTTTATACGTTATTGTTTCATACTGCGCGTATCGTAGCTTTTCTATGCCTGGAGGCTGTACTCAAGTTCATGCAGTTCCAAGTATACAGGATGTATCAGTACATGCGACGGGGGACGTGGGCACCACCCCTTTACCGTCGGTTAATTGGTGTAGCGCCACGTCCACCAGTATCTAGAGTTGAACCTTGAGTCTTTCAAAAGAGCAATTACATGGCCATACAAGGGCTGTTAATATTTAGTATTACATTCTTGTTTGCTGGTTAACATATTCTATGGATAACGTGATTTACAGAGTTACATACTGACTTTGTCTCTCATTTTCGGCATACAATGCATATGAATTACCTGAATTACATTAATCTTACATTGCGTTGAATTACTTTTGTGTACAGTTACAGTTTTTAGCTGTACATTTCAATAAATATACCTACATTACTTGTAGATTGCGTATAAATATAGTTTGCATGTACAGTTACATATGCCAATATTACATAGGCCTTACGTTACATTATTTTTATATACATACATAGTCAGGCACGCCTGCTTCACATATTACTTAATTTTACCTACACTGCTTAACCTTAGGTTACATATACTTGCAGTTGCATACAGATACATGCAAATACATTCTGATTAATTTTTTAGATACAAATATTTACAAACATAATAGTCTTACAGGTTACTTACATTACATGTTATTTGGGTACTTATTGTATAATTTTCCAGTACATGAAATAGACATTCCAATATATACATTGCTTTGCGTTAGACGATGTATCAGTACAGCGGTAACAATCTTTCAGGAGACATAGAGTGCACCTAGAGGATGGGAAATCATATAGCAATGCATGGTCGGAAACGTTTTCCTGGCGCAGTAGTAATACAAAACTCAAAAAAAGGAAAGACGCAAATAGTAAGACAATTAAACATGTTTGTTTATGTTTGATGCAGCAGAAGCCTACAAAAAAGAACAAAAACAAATAGCAATCATCATTAAAGAAGGTAGACTAAATTACGACTCCGAACCGTGATGCAGGACTCACATCGCTGGCGCATGGAAGGTTTGCATCATGCATCGAATGGAAGATGCATGACGCGCAGTTCCTGCATCACGGTACGGGTCGTAATTTCGCACCACCTTCTTTGATGATGATAGTTGTCCCTTTATGTAGTTTTTTCCCATGTTTTTGTTGTACTCTGAATAATAAATATGTTTTCTCACCCCGTTCATGTTCTTTCTTTTTTGACTTTTGTGTAGTCACTACCCGCGCCAGGAAAGCGTTTCCGAACATGCATTTGTAAGTGATTTCCAGTCATCTAGGTGTACTCTAGCTCTCCTAAAAGTTTGTCGCCGCTCTAACTGATGCACACTGTATACCGTGTCTAATCGCGTAGTAGTCGCACCTCGGTTTTGAAGCAGAAAATATCGTCAAAAGTGTACAATATTTTGTAGTAGATTTCTCCGCATAATAGTTGTACCTAAACTTTCACAATGCAAAATTGGCAAAATAACTGAGACTATTACATGAGTAAACACGCTATATGTATGTATAGCGTATGTATGTAAACTCATAAATACATAGATATATATGAGTTTCAAATAAGCTTTTTATTTGTAAGTATTCTAGTGATAATTTCGTTTATTTTGTAATTACACTTTTCATTGCACTTTATTTTATTTCTGTTAAAAAAATGTTTCACCGGAACCACAGTATCACAACCACTTTTAAGCGGAAGCCTTAAGAATATTCTTTTTACCTTGTTTTCTAATTTTTGCAGCTCAATGCGCAAAATTCTTGACCACAAAGGTCTTTTTTTAGTTTGTTTTCCCTTCTTTAATTATATACATGTATATATATATATATATATATATAAAGTAAGAAATTTAGAACTAATATTTCACAAAGATCAAAAATTGAAATTCATAATTAATATATTTCAAATAATCTTATAAATGCAACAAAGAATTTAAAAGATATTAAAACCAGAACTTTTCAAACAAGCAAAACCCCATATAAAAAAATGAACTTTAAAGAAAAATGAAGGAAAAAAAAAAAAAAACAGAAGAGGAATTCAATTAACTTCAATGCTACTTCGTCGGGGGGGGGGGCAGGAACAGGAACATTGAAATCTCTCTTCTACAAAATTCCTTGCTCTTTTTTATCCAGAATTAGCCGATGAACAATTTCAATGTATTTTAATTATAATAGTTCACCCGAAAATTCTGGCTCTTACTAATTAGAATAATCTTAAATAAAGAGAATTCTATTTTATTAAAAACATTGTAAATGAAAGTGTAAAAATAAAATACTTCAGGGAAAAATTTTTAAATAAAAAAATGTTTACCTTTAAACAGATAATCCAATGAATTAAGATCTGAGTAAATTTATTTAGTTGTAAAAACCTAATTAGAACACACAAGAAGTAATTAAGAACAGAATTAATCGGATTTACATTTAAACGAAACGCGCTTTTTATGATTGTGTTGTGGCTTCACGGTTGCCCATTATTGGCGCTATATCACACTGTTTGGCGACAACATATACGCGTTAATAATATTACGAGTTCCTTAATAACATTGCAACTTTCTAACTAAATTTTCGAGGGAAAATGCTTTCTAAAATTCTTAAATGTTTCGTTTGCTTGAGCTTTTCGGTTCGTTAAATGCCGGATAGTAAGACTTTTCCCGCATACTTAGTATTAACTAGTGAGGTACTTTTCCGTTTTGCCGGCGCAGGCGATAAAGTCGCCAATAATGGTACAACTAATGCCAAACGGAATATCCTCGCTGGTAACCTTTTACGCCTCATTTTTAAAACAAGTCGCAGCCATTTCTTATCAGATTATTATTATTATTATTATTATTATTATTATTTTTCAATACTGGCATAAAATTACATAGAATATTTACCAGATACTTCAGTTTTATGACCTAAGACCATTCTCGGTAACTAAGTCAATTAGGAAGCAATCACACCGCTCACCGAAGACGAAAATATAGTAAAGGCAAAGTCAAGAATTAAATTCAGCAATTCTAATGCACCAGCGAAGTAAAGCACTGCGGTTTTACATAATTTCCGAGTAAGCTATTCGTATGAATTGAAACAATTCTTGCATTTAAACTTGCATTCCAAGATTTATAAACAAGATTTAACTTGAAATTAATGTAGATAATTACTGAGAGAATTAGATTTTGGTAGTATAGTTTACGTGAGATGAGATTTCTTGGGGTCACGTGATACGAACCGGTGAATCAGGATGTTGAAACAATGAAAGCATAGTAGTAAATTCTTAAATTAATGTCTTTTTTACAAATTTATTGTTTTTATTTATTGGCATTTTACAAAATTTTAAGCTCTATTAAAATATTTATGCCTTCAAAATAAAAATTTCTTAGAACTAACATTTATTAACATTTTTTATTTGTATACTGTATGTTGTCGCCAATAACGTCTGCTTGGCGAGATTTGCGCCGGCGAAACGGAAAAGTACCACTAGTGATTAATACTTAATCACTAGTGGTACTTCACATAGCATATTACTTATATAAGATTAGGGTAAAAATATATTTACGGGTGCCCCTTTGGCGATAATTGGCGATTTTTGGCGGTACATGAACATCGAGTTTGTGCAATTCTTTGACTTGTTATTTTGGCTTTGTGTGGCGATTTTTGTGCCAAAACTCGCGGCTACACAAATGCAAAATAACATGTCCAAGAATTGAACAAACTCGGTATCCATGTACACATCGACCTATTTTCACTTTAAAAAAATCAGAGAATTGCACAAACTAGGCATTGCGCACTCACTTGATTTTGTCCCCGTACACACGGATCTACATTCACTTAAACGAGTCAAACGAGCAGCCCACAAACGATATATAATCTCAATAAACTACATTTTAAAACAAGCAATGAAATAACATTAAAAAAAAAAAAAAAAAAAAAATTCATCTTAGCTTTACACAAAGGATATATCCACTTACCTTAGTTACGAATTTACGAGTCTTCAGTCAAACAAAATTCCTTAACAGCATCCAAAAGCTTCCTAAAAGTATCTGAACTAGAATCTGTGTACTGGCGTCGCCACATAAATTCACAAAACTATCCTCCTAGTCCGACGTTCGACCATACGCATTTCCTTCCTACAAAAAACAGGACACTTAATAATGACTACTAAGTAAACCTTCATTACACACCAGTCAATTAATGCTTTTACCCGTATCGTTCCAAATCCTACAGAAACTTCAAATTAATCTTACCACATTCAGGCATTTTACCGTGTAAACCACAAAATAACGTACGTATCGAATATCCGAAAGAAAACTTCCATATGTTTTCCCATGATTCAAATTGATCGCAATAATGCAACCAATTACGTCATAATAGGGTTTCTATAACATTCAACTACTCAGGTTACCATAAATGAAACACCAACTTGGCGATAAATGAAATAACAACTTGGCGATAATCCAAAGGGCACCCGTAAGTCTACTTAACCAAGGTTTGTAATTCAACTATGATCGCATAAAATGATACTTGTTCATTTTTACAGATATGTGCAATGATACCCATACATGCCAGAATGGAGGAGAATGTGTAGAACAAGTATGCAAGTGTAAAGATGGCACTGATGGGTACTTCTGCGAAACGCTCAGAGAATGCAAATCATATGGAGATTGCGGGGAGCACGAGTCAGTGATGTGCATTTATGATCAAAATACCACTAAAACTACTTGCGCCTGTAAAAACAAAACCCTGGCGTTTGATAACCAGCAGAAAATGTGCAGAGGTAGGTTGTTCTTGATATATTCACTCTTGTTTCGAGACGAAAAAAGGGAACAGGCATCTGCATTTTGTTTACTTGTTACTTTATTTGACTTACTTGTTTACTTGAGTCAGTAACTTTATCGAGAGGATGGTTTTAAATAATTATCTCTAACTCTTAGTTAATATCAATTTTTTTTTAGATTTTTTAAAATATCTGCAAATTTAGAACTTTTAGCCTAAAAGGGACGTTAGTCGGAAAAGAGTCTGGAAACGGTATTTTGCGTTGAATCACGATATATGGCAGGGGTGGCCAAGCTCTTTGACAGTCCGAGCCATTTTTCCAAATTTGAAATTTTTCGTGAGCTGCAATTAAATACATATTTAAAAGGTATGCAAAAAAGGTATTAAAAATTTTTTACAGAAATTATATTTATTGAAAACATATAAATAAAAGTACAAAATATATGTATTGAATTAAAATATTAAAAATTAAACATATTTATTTTACTTCTCTTGATAATTCTTTAAAATTTGGTGAAAGATTGGGGACAGCTTTTCTCAGTAATTCTTTGAGATGCTGGTTCGTTAATACTGATCGGTGTTTGGATTTCACGAATTTTAAAGTAGAATAAAATGATATACATAAGTACGTTGCTCCGAATATTTAAATAATTCAACAAGCAGCCTTTTTTTAATTCAGGATACTTCTATTCTGGTACAAATTTCCAAAATTCAGTAATCGGCGCCGATTTATATTTTAATTGTAGAGCTTGATCTTCTTTGCATCTCTATTAATTCTAAATCTCCAGATGCTTTTTGGGTCATAATTATATTGGAAATGGAAAACTCACCTTGAATTATGCTAATTTCAAATGGATTCTGAAAAAAATCAAGAGACGATGGACGGAAATGAAATCTTTTACAACGTTGCACTCAGTCTTTCATATTTGTTGTATGTAATTTAAAAGACATTTTGAAACACATACGGAATAATAATTTTTTAAAATATAATAACACAAAAATGAAAAGGGAACTGGGGTACATTTATCGAGAGCCACAAATAATCCTTCAAAAAGCCGCATGTGGCTCGCGAGCCGCAGGTTGGCCACCCCTGATATATGGCATATCACTTTTCAAATTGCTACACTAAATATTATCGGCCTGTATAATATTGGGTCATATAAAAAGTCTCCGCGCTTTTTTGGTACATTTTTAACAAAAATTTTCTTTATTGAAAATCAATTTTAATCAAGTACTCATTAACGATTATTATCTATGATCTTTTGCCATTTTTCGGGTAGCTTCGCAATTCCATCGGTGTAGAACATCTGTGGTTTATCGTCGAAAAACTTGGGCGAGTGATTTTCAGCGGCTCTTTGGTCGGCCAGGTTTTTACCATCAAGAGAGTTTTGCAGAAATCGAAGAAAATGGTAGTCAGACGGTGCAAGGTTCGGGTTATATGGTGGATGCATCAAAACGTTCCTAACAATTTCCGCCAATATGTTCTAAGTCATCAAAGATGTGTGTGGCGGCGCAATGTCATGATGGAACACAACTTCCTTTCTTTTGGCCAATTCTGGTCGACATTTCTGTATTGCTTCGTTCAAACGGTCGAGTTGTTCACAGTGCAGTGCCGAATTGGTGGTTTCCGCAGGTTTCAATTTATGTGGCACCCAAACATTAAGCTTCTTTTTGTAACCTGCTCTTTTCAAATGATTCCAAAATGTCATGTGGTTGATGTTTAGTGCCTCTGCTATTTCCTCACAGCTTACGTGCCGATCATACTCCCCCAGTAGCAAAATTTCACCGACTTTTCCAGTGACTGGCCGACCAGAGTGAGGTCCATCTTTGGTATCGAAATTTCCGGAACGGAATCGTGCAAATCACTCCTGGATCCTTAGTTCACTCACGGAATTCTCACCATACACTTCACGAATTTTTTGGCATGTTTTTGAAGCCTTTTTACCTTTTTCATAGTAAAAAAGCATCGCACAACGTATTTCTTCAGATATCTCACTCATTTTCAAGTCAATATATCTTTTTACAGAAGCGAATTATTTTTACAAACAATGGAGGCAGAATATCACCTTTTAAGCACACGTTCGTTTGAGACAATCGGGTGAATGTTGCCAACAACTTGGCGATAAATGAAACAACACCATCTAGTGGCAAAAAAAACGCGGAGACTTTTTATATGACCCAGTATTTTTAAAAAAGACTAAATAATATAGAACCTGCATCAATGTATGCATATATCTCGCACTGTGAGAAAACAACGGTACCTAGAGCCATTTAGTTTTGACTAACATGTGCCTCTACCCGAACATGGGCATCTGGAAGGCAGAATTTCGAGTTATGTTTCATATTTTTGTAAAATTTTAACAAATTTTTGATTAACAAATTCAACGATTTCAAAGCGGGCAGTGGCAACACTGTTGGAAATGAAACATTTTTATATTCAGACTGTCTACCGGAAATTCTAAAGACACGGTGTCTTTAAGTATTTTGTTATATTGCTGTTGAATTGAATTTTATGTGGTTTAAATGCGAAGAACATGATATTTAAATAAATAAACGTGACACAGAAAATGTTAAAAAAAAGGCCCTTTTAAGCAGTAATATAAGATCTGAAAACGTGCAGATTTTCTTTCTTTATTTATTTTTAAGCGCAAAAGGTACGTTAGTCTCGAATGGGTTGTTAATCACGATATGGTAATTTGCTTTGAATAACAATAAACAGAGTATCACTTTTCAAATTTTTGCCACGAAGTATTATCTCCCTGTATTACGGTTCAAGAAATTACATAATGAAGTATCTACATGAATATATGTATAAAAAAAGGTGCCTGGTACCATCAAATTTTGAATAACGTAGTCCTCCACCCAATCATGGCCACTTGAAAGCCCGAATTTTGAATTTCGAACAATATATTTCATATTTTTATAAAACTGTAACAAATTTTTAATTAACAAACATTTAAAAATTTTTTTCTCTAAGCTTTAGTTAATAGGAAACTTTTTTGGGTACTTTTCCATTTCGCCGGCGCAAATCTCGCCAAGAAGACTTTATTGGCGACAACATACAGTATAAACATAAAAACGTTAACAAACGTTAGTTCCAAGAATTTTTTATTTTGAAGGCATAAACATTTTAATATCCTTTAAAATTTTGTAAAAAGCCAACAAATAAAGACAATAAATTTGTAAAAAGACATTAATTTAAGAACTTACTACACTTTCGTGGTTCAACATCCTGATTCGCCGGTTCGTATCACTTGACCCCAAGTGATCTCATCTCACGTAAACTGGACTACAAAAATCCAATTCTCTCAGTAATTATCTACATTAATTTCAAGTTAAATCTTGATTTGGAATGCAAGCATTATTTCAATTCGTTCGAATAGCTTACTCAGAAATTATATAAAACCGCAGTGCTTTACTTCGCTAGTGCAGTTTGAATTAGAATTAACGTATTTAACCCTTGACTTTGCCTTTTCTTTTTTGCATTTTAATTGACTTAATTACCGCGAATGGCTTTAGGGCATAAAATTTGACTAGCTGGTAAACATTCTACATAATTGTGTGCTAATATCGAAAGAAAGAATCAGTCTGATAAGAAATGGCTGCGACTTGTTTTCAAAATGAGGCGGTAAAGGTTACCATCGAAGATATTCTGTTTGGCATCAGTTGTACTATTATTGGCGAGTTTATCGCCTGCGCCGGTAAAACGGAAAAGTACCCTTTTTTTTTAATTTTGAATAAATTTGCTAATTCCGAATTTTTATCCCAAAAGGCACGTTAGTCAAGAATGGGATATTAGTTTTGAAACGGCATTTGAGTCGATTCACGATAAATGCCCATTTCATTACTTTTCAAATTGTTGCCACCAAATATTATCGCCCTTTGTTATATTTAAAGAAATGAAATAATTTAGAATCTGCAGAAATGTTTGTATGTTTCTGGCATTGTGAAAAAACAATGCCATCAAATTGTAAATAACGTAGCTCAAATTTTTAATTTCGAATATAATATTTCATATTTTTATAAAAGTTTAATAAATTTTTAATTAACAAACTGAACGATTTCAAAGCGAGCCGTGGCAACATTATACAGAATGAAGCATTTTTTTATCTCTAGCGCGTGAAACAGCCCGTCAGAAATTCTAAAGAAGGGCTGTGTTTAAATAATTTGTGATTTTGCCGTGGAATCGAATTTACGTGGCGCCAGTAAAAATACAAAATGTTAATAATAAAAAGACCCCCCCCCGAAAAAAATTTTTATAAATCCATCTTAGTAATGATATGATGAACTGAGAAAAGACTGAAAAAAACAGAAAATTATATGCCAAGATTATTAGCGCTGCATCGGGAACTCTAAACGTATACTGTTATACTGCTTTAAAAATGTTTCTAACTATTCTGTTGAATTTTATATGGAAAGAAAATTATCTTAATTATAAAGCTAAAAAGACAAAAAAAAAAGGGGGGGAATTTATAGTAACGGCAGACTGCGAGTTCAGCAACTGCGTCAAAAACCTTAAAAAGCCCTATTGGACGACCGTTAAAATCCGAAACTTTTCAGATTTTTTTAATAAAAAAATCGTTTTTGTTTATATATTTTTATCGTTTACAAATATTTTATGACTAATATAATTCTCCTGATTTCTTATAAGAATATTCCGATTTTTTCACTTTTGTAGATTCGCACTTGCACAAGCAATTGTAGCAAACCGTAGCATGTACATAATTGGCTGAATTTTTATTTGCAGAATGCGATTGTGGACCAAATGGAGATTGTAGTTATTGGTACGGTAAAAAATGCAAGTGCCATGAAGGATACGCGGAACTTGAAGGCACATGCAAATGTAAGTTCCTATTGAATGTTTTTGAGTTGTATTTAATATCTCATTTTATGTTTTGTCTTTTAAATGTATTGAAATTTAAAGGTGTCTCGATGTAGCATAAAAGCGATTTGTAGTGCTGGAAGAATACGGAATTAGCTCTATGTATAACTTTAAAATTAAGAAATTCATTACCATATTTCTCTGCATATGTTCCCCATTTTTTAATTAAGTTTATCGTTCAAAAATCGAAAGGTTAATTATGTGAGTAATTTTATTTCCAAAAAACGTGGTTACAGTAAGAACGTAAAAATGAAAGCATTTGATGAAAACACCCCATGATATTCTGGTACAGTTATATAAATTTTAAGTTAAGCTATATATATATATATATACATATATATATAAGAAAAATAAAAAAATATGTAAAAGATTAAATTAGCAGCGTTAATTAATTTCTCTTCTCAATTCTAAAAATAGTAACCCCTCTCTGCACTGCGTCATTTCGAGAAAAATCTATGTCATATGACTCTTACGTAATTACGATGATGTAAATGGAACTAAAACGTAAGCAGCCAATAATAATTTTACAGCAATATTAACTCGCCAATCAAAATGCTTTGAGAACCAAAACTAACTCAGTTTGACTTAAGAGTTCATCCTAAACATTACGCACTTGCTTTCCACGCTTTGGCCTATCTACACAGCTGTCTGTCTGCTGCTGCTTTCTTGCTGCAAAGTTATAAAAAATGTAAGCCTTTTGGAACAGGCACATTTCATGTGCCGACTTGTGTGTAGCTGAACATAAAACTGAAGATTTAATCTGCCTTCGCCTCCAATTTCCTTGTCATTATGGATCAACACCTCTACGGCACCGAAATTCCTGCTCCTGAATTTATTACATATATATTGCCTGGATTTCATTTAGACTTATTTTATCGAATTTTATTAGAGATATATTTCTCATTCAATCAATCCATTCACCTTGTAAAAGTGATTCAAATGTAAACAAATGGCGACCTCTTTAAGCGTAGTGCCACTTAAACATTTAAATTGCTGATAATTCTACAAATATTGCATGCAGATTATGCAGCTTCAGCGAAAGCAGAAAACCGGAATATAATAACAACATAATTCGACCACTTTTAAAGCAAAAATTGCACAATTTTCCAACATATAAGAATGAAAATACTAAGTCCACCGATTAGCACCCGCATGTACACACTTAGCAAGTCCAGAAAATCCACGGCAGTTAAATTTTCAGGCAGACTCCGCCTATCTTTACTTTACCTAACACAAGTTTCTGTCTATTCTAACAGCGATTTTTAACAGTCTTTTGATTGCTTCTTTGCTTAATTTTAAGTAGTTACTAACAGGATACTCTTTCCCCGTACAACAACTTCCAAGCTTACATGTAGACTTTACGAGGCTCTTAGCCGTCTATTCGGCTGCGTTCCCGGAGCAGGGTGGAGCAGAGGTTTCTACCAGGAAGATATCACACTGTGAGGCTAAGGCCAGGTCAGTGGTCTTCCTTGGTGGCGCTCACTCACTCACTAAGTCCACTGAGCTGGATAACAGAGCGAAAATATGTGTACTTTGGCGGGGATCATTGCAATGAAGAATGGAGGCGCGCAAGTACATGTTATAGCAATTCTATATACAAAATCGCAATGTTCTACGGCTACTCGTTTTGGGCTATGCGAGATACATACATACGTTCGTAAGTAGAGACATCACGGAAAAAACAAATCACTTCTGAATCCATTTTACAATCCGTTTTGGAAAAAAGAGTCCTTTATTCTGTCCATGTGTACAGATGTCAAGCAAAAACATTGCTCAAATGGATTCGAGAGCGATCAAAATGGATATTTTCATTGAAATATGATACTGGAAATTTTTCATGATTATAATGTAAGATTCCTGCCTTTAAGTTAAAGCTGAAAATGAGGAGACTTAAGAACTGGTAAGCGAATAATCGCTTAGTTCAGTGAACATAGAGCAGAACTCAAGATTCAATTTACTATTCAAAATAAATTTAACAGACGACTCCTTCTTGGAGTTTACAGTAAAGCCTCCACTCGGGCTTGAACTCAGGAATACTAAGAAGTAAAACTTAATTAAAAGGATGTAGCCGAAGTATCAAGGTTCTAACAGAGTTGTACCCTTAACGCTAACTAACAGCAAAGCTATTAAGGGCCTAAATTACTGCCGTAATAATATAGAGAGAGTAGCCTGAAAGGTGAACGCGCGCTGCTCTGAATATCTGGCTCTCTAACGAAGTCAGTAGAATTTCAAAGTTAAATAATTCTCCTCATTTGCATTTGACCGCGATTCTGAAAATATGTTCTGGCCGGAAGTGGTAAGCTGAAATTAAGAACAGACAGGAAAGTAGCTTTAACTAAAAACTATCTGTTAGAGAAACGTAGGATAAACCTTACAATTTTCCCGACCAGACTTTAAATACTCGCAAAATAAGGTCTCAAAACAACCTTGTTTAAGATTTTAAAGTCTAAAAACTTCCTAAAGTTAAATCTAACACTTCCTAACACTTTGCATTACATTAGTCCTTTCAACTTTCCTGTTTCTGGCGAATTTTACACAAAATCTAAAGCTAGACTAAAACTAAGATAAAAGATTTACAAATTATTCTCCTTTTTTACTGGACATACATCAGCTTCTTCTTAAGTTCTGCTCTCTGTTCACTGAACTAAGCAATTATTCGCTTACCAGTTCTTAAGGTTCCTCCTTTTCAGCTTTGACTTAAAGGCAAGAATCTTACAACAATACTCCCTTTATTTCGTAGAAGAAGGTAAAAAGAATCATGGATATACTACTGACAAGTATCATAATATTATTTCGCTAAAAGACACCTACATTGCAATAAGAAGAAACCGTAATATTAAAATTACAATTTTGGATGATAACTGAACCGGTCACGTCGTGCCGCTGCCCGAGTTGTTTTGTAAAGCAGAAGAGGTACCTCGCCTGAATGGGTCTTGAACTCAGTTTCGAAGGACTTAGGAGGAGAGAAGGGCGTGAATAAAAAGTCCGGACTTCAATAGATCGAACACATAACTAGCAAATAATGTTAAAATCAGGAAACTAAGGTGAAATCATGTGTTTGAATGTTTCTAAAGTGTAAGAACACCTGCCATGTCGAGTACCTCAGTGGTGAATCTGCACAAAGTAAGTTATAAGTAAAAAAATATGATGCGTACACCACATGACTTCCTTCTACGGAATATTAAACGTTTTCGGGATAGACGATAACCACGTACGGTTTTGGAGGTGCCATCGTGAATCGCAGAATTCCAACCACGCTGTTGCACGACACACTGGCCGCACAACACGAGTAATAGTTTGCGGGACACAGCCTGTGATAGCCGGTTCACTCTAATTATGGTAGGTGAAACCTTAGCAAGCCAGCGTTATGTCTATGACATTCTTCGTCTCCAAGTGAGATCTTTCCTAAATGGTCTTCCAGGGACGATTTTCCAGCAAGATAAAGAGGTTATCACACTTGGTTATTCAGCCTTAGCCAAGGTGTCTGCAATCTCACTGCCCAAGATGCCGTCCACTTTTTTGTTTTACTTTTACGCTGCAGAAGAGGACTGCTGACTCTAGGGCTAAAAAAATTACTTTGCAGCATTATTGTCCTCCTTGCACAAGCGATCTAATGCTGCTGCGCCCCCTCCGCATGAAAGCCGACAGGACAGACTGCTACAAACATATGGAGAATATGAAGTTCACAAGACTATTTACAGCAATGCATAAGTCCTCGCAGGCTACACAGTCCTGTCAGGACTAAGCGATATCACTGATGGTCAATGCATTGAAGTTGCCATTAGAATTACTTGCTATATTGAATGAAGCAATTATGATATTAGAGTTGAACAAGGTAATAATCATAATACAATTGAAGCAAGATTGAATTCCGTTGTTACAATAAGCAGCAAAACGAAACAAGGATTATACATAGATGCGATGTGTATATAAATGTAGTACTATTGAACACACATAAAAAACAGCATGTATGCAGGTACTATTGAAGAAAAGTGTTTATACTACTAATGAAACTTTGTGTAATGAGGCCTACTGTTGTGCTTTTGCTTTGCAGAGTGTCATTACATAGTACTACAAATCATAGAGACTTATGTTGTTCTGAGAAAACGGTGTGCATAGCTAATGGTTAATTTCTGTTCGAGCAAGATTCCAAGTGCTAGGTTGCTCTGTCAAGCCCAGTTACAGCTGAGTTCTTTGTTTCTCAGCTTTACTTTGGCTATGTTGTTCTTAATCAAATTTTCCGCCCATTGGGTCCGAAATGGCTGGCTTGGTTTCTTTTGGTGAAGATGAGCAGTGTCGGGGCGAGAAAAGAGATAGTGATCTGGGTCTCCCACAGGTATCTGTTTTACTTAGGTGGAAGTGATGTAGATAAGATTCAAAAGGACCATGACCTGTGAAGTAGTAGGTAGATGCCATCCACTGTAGGTGAATCTGATGAGGCAAGGAAAGGTGCCTCCGCTTTTTAAAAATATTCACTCTTATATTATCTCTCACATTATGCCAACAGCTCAAGCTGCTATCAGACAGAATCCAGATTTCTTTTCCATCAGTAAAGGGATTAACGCATTTAGCAAAGGTCCCTTCTAGACGGGACTTTTCTGAAAAACGAGATTCTGGTAGCACTGGTTTAAACGGGAGGATTCCTAGAAAAAAAGCACCGCCTGAAGCGAAGTCCCGCCTAGCTGCGGAAACGATGTTGCGGCTAGGCGGGATTTTTTCAAACCTCACGGAAAATATCTGTTCTGCTTCTCTCCAAAGAGCCAACTGTATCGAGAAAAATGGTGGACGTTTGTCTGATGTCATAATTCATACATAATTTCCATAAAATATACTTAATGTATAAAAAATTAATCAAAATTAAATTATTATTACAAGAGTTATCCGTGTTTAATATTAGTAGTTCTTATTTGGCCCACCCTGTATTTTTAAGAAATGACGGTAGCTGGACTTATTAAAATAATTACAGACATTTTTCTTTCCTATGATAAATCTTTTAGGCGTCTGACCGCTAGAACGGCTAGTTTTCAAAGAAATAATATAGCAAATATAAAAATAATATGGCAACCCATGAAACTCCAGCGATTGTTCTAAAGATATGTTTTTTTAAAAATATTTTGCGCTTTAATTTAAGTGACATAATTGCGAGAAAAGCTAAAAAAACAAAAAACGATGTGTAGTAGGAGAGAGTTCAAGAGCAGACTGGTAACTTGCTCAACGAAAGCATACAGAAGAGTAACAAGTCTGCGACTTCAAAATCCGAATCTTTTCATATTCTCTTTCTTTCTTTTTACGATTATTTAATTTTTATTTATTTATTTTTCCAGCTTGTAGTTGTAAGGGTGGAGTTTGTTCATTCAGCACCGAAGGACAAAGGATTTGCAAGTGTGATTATGGGTACAGGGAAGTCAACGGAGAATGCCTGGGTAAGCTAAAAACCTGAACATATTTTATAACGTCTAATTAATGAGAGTTCAAATACTTGTAATAAAGTTTTAGGTGTAAAATGTTTTTTTCGTTTATAATGTGAGCAAAATGCTGGCATACAATTTATGAGTTACTATGTAGAGACATTAGATTCTTTATAGCATAAAAGGGGATTTTCAAAATCTTTTTTTTTTTGTTTTTTTTTTGTTTTGTTTTGTTTTGTTTCATAAGCTATTAAGGTAGGGATAGACATCGAAGAAGTGCTTAGCATCACAAACAAACCACATCGTTTACATTTATCGTAGTCCTGTATCTTAAACTTATCGAATTATCCTGGAAAACGCCCATGTCCGGTCAGAAACTGGTAAACTTCAAAATCAGATAATATTCTTTTTCTTAGTCAATTCTAAGTGTTTCAAATAACGACGTTTCTTTCAGAAGTATTCCACTGTAACTGCCATTGCTTAAAATAATAAGAACTTTCGTTTTATTTTAATCTTCAACATAGAGCGTCCCCAAAACACTCCCCAAGTCAGCCTCTTTTGAGAGCACATCCGCTCGCTCATTACCGGTACTTTGATACTTTGTTAGTTACTCTGGCATGCAGCGGGAAATACACTACTCCTGCTATTTCCAGATTCCTGAATGAGTCCCCTTAGGGCTCTGACGTATATAAAAGTCCAAAGATGAAGCTTCTCTAGTTGAGATAGCCTTTTAAAAGAAAAAGAGAAGTGAAGCTCTGAGCTTCGGTGATCAGCAAGCCATGTCTACGGCAGCTGCGAAAGCACAAGGACTACCGTTACACCACGAAGGAGGGAAAAAATCATACAGGTTGCCTTTCCTTGTTACAGTCATTGTCTGATCCGGTTTCTAAAAATCCATTAATTAATAAAATGAAAGAAAATTTTAAAAATATAAAAAAGAAACATTGTATTTTGTTACATTGGGTCAAAGCTCATGTGGGCTTTACCGGCAACGAGAGGGCGGACGTGCTGGCTAAGGAAGCGGCCATGGTGGAAAATGAATGTTTTATAGAAATCTCCGATTCAAAGAAAGATGCAATTACAGTAATGCAAAAATATTATCTTGACAAATGGTCGCAACAATGGAACAGTTCAATAAGAAATAAGGGTTTATTGAAAAATATAAAAATAACTCAAAAAATGACAATATATAATGATATAGATGCAAATCAGTTTATAACAAATCATGGTACATTTCCGGAGTATCTTAGTAGATTTGCTAAGATATGATTTCCGGAATTTCGCGACATACTTCGTAACATACTCCACAATGACGACACACTTCGTAACATATAATCTACCATGATTATATGTTACGAAGTATGTCGCTAGGAAATTTCATAACACTTAGCTTGTAATTCACCTGGTTCCGCAGTGCACTTCCCGTTTGAGCGTAAATTAACAGAAAGTGTACGACTACAAATGAAAATTGCAAATTTTGAAAATATAAGTTATAATAAATTATGCAACTTTGCCAAAGAGACTGTCGGAGTTACTAACGGTAAACGGAGTGCATGTGATGTTTTCATATAATCAAAATTTTAACTGTATTAACTAAAAATGGTCTTTTATTGTATTTTTATTTGTATTTTAGTTCGAATTTTATAGAACTGATTTGGATTTTTTACTTGTAATTTTATTCCTTTTGACTTATTGAAATACTAATTTTACGGCTTATGATGTCTTATTCTATGTATTCTTATTTCTTTTTATTTGATATATGTTAATTGTGTATTTAAAGTTTGTGGTTTAATGTTGTGATTTTGCTTGAATTTTGTTTTGTGGTGAACTTAGAGGCGACCCAATCAAGATCATGCGGTCTATTTTTAGACCAGGTGGATCGGGTCGTATTCCTCTCATTCGTACCTTATAACGATTGCGTGCTATATATTCCCTGTAATTTCAAATAAGCAGATATTTACGGTATAGGTATGTTATACATTTTCAGCAAACTAAGAGCAAGTATCCTGGTTGGCATAGTGATTAGCGCTGCTTCATAGTTGGATCCGGGTCTCTGAGGCATGAGGGCACTTAAAGTACATGGCGAAGCAAAATTCCACTCGAGAAGGTTATGATAGGCGAAGAGGAGTGGAAGACTGTCAGATCCGTCTCTCGGACGCATATAAGCAAACTATACATTGCTAATGCAACCACATGGAACTGACCAGTGACAGACAACGTAAGCATCACCGTTAAATGCCTCCACAATGACGATTTTTAGAAGTTTGCATTATGCTGATTATATGTTACGAAGTATGTCGCTAAAATGGAGTACAAAGCACCTGGCCGAAGATGATTCAGTTGCAGTCTGTTAAGAATGCATAAGCAGTTTCAGTTTGAGTTATGATGTCTGTCATGATTGGAGTTTCTAACTCTGGTGCAGAAAAGGTTGCCCTTCTATTCGGCACTAAATACCGACACTACTACCGGTTTTCTGGTAACCCAGAATCGACTCTGTTTCCCTAGTGTTATGACAGACATTTTTTTTTTTTTTTTTTTTTTTTTTTTTTTTTTTTTTTTTTTTTGTTATGTGCCAATGTTTTTCTTAAGCTTAATCTGATTGAAACTCCTTACTTTAGTGATCGAGGGCTACGTGGTTTGTAATACATGTAACACCTACTGCAAATCATGTATTTTGAATACTAGAATTTTAATTGACCTTTGGCATTCCTTAGCTGGCTGGTTCTAATTGATGATTGTCCTGTCACTTCCACAGAAAGTATCTCTGGCAAAATAAATATTCGTTTTTCTCGTGATTTAGAGAGAAAGGATAAGGAGTTATAACTAATTGGTGTATAATGAAGGTTTAATTAGCTCTCGCTATAAATGTCAATTTTGTACGCAATAAATGCGTCTGGTTGAGGGCGAGTTTCGTAAGCAGAGTCTTGAGCAATAGTTGTTTTTGCAACGTAAGATTTCAGCATGGTTTTAGGCAAAGCTGCTTTAGAAACATTACTTCTTGACGTCAAAAAGACTGCCTAAAATATTAACGGGCACGCTTATTGTAAATTTTTACCAGAGTTTGTTAACGAGAGCATTTCAAAATACTTCTAACAATACTTGAACTTAAATAAACATGTGGTATTATCATTGTGGGCGGAGTTAACGCTGATATTTATCTGGACTGTTATTGGCCATATTCAAGCAATTTTCTAACAGTTTAGGGCCTACTTACATACCTTCCGGGAGCATATAAGCATTCTGTACCGCGCCACGCACATAGAGAAAAAATCCCTCCTCGTGATTGGATATGTCTTCCGATAGCATCACTTCCTCTACGCTTAAACGCCTTAACTTTGCTTAGGCTCAAGGATATACCACCATACCGTTTGTTTATATTTTGGTAACAGTACCGAAAAGATTATTACGTGCGTTGTATTTCTGTTGCTATGAGATTTTACTTCTTACAACACTGTAGTGTGGTGAATTTGATATAAAAAATAGTGTTCCCCCCCCCCCCCCCAGAGAGGAAAAGTATTATTTCTTCTTGTGCTAAATCCGTAAATGTGTATTAATATTAAATGCAGAGACTTTTTAATAAATGTATTCTTAATTAAAAACCCTTCATATTATAGGTGTGGTGATTATTAATTAATTATTTCCTCTTCATTATATATTTATTGTCTGCTGATGCAGTCTGCGAAAGTATGAGACAAATCAGTTTTCGGAAATATCAAAAACGACGTTGGGAGCTAACGTTACACAAGTACACAAGTACACAGTAAAGTTACACAAGTACAATAAATTCACAATATTTATAATGTCTTAAAAAGTAAAATTTATTTTTTAACTACAGTTTGAAGTTAGACTAACCTAGATTTGGAACAGAGAAATAGACGTACGTATTTTAAATTGAACAATATTACTTTATGAATATTGCCCATTTTTTAATGTGTAACATGTTTTGTACCTTTGCATAAAAATAGTATTTGTCAGAGACAGAAGTTTCAACAGGAATCCATCTGCAGAACGCTGCAGCTAAATTTTTTCGTTTCAAAGGAAACAAACGATAGTTTTAACGCTTCCGTGTCACTGATGCGCGTTATTCAACAAAACAAAATCATAAGAAACCCCGCCTAAACGTCATTCCGCCAAGAGAATATGACATCATCTGAAAGTAAGTCAGGTCACAAGTACGGATTTTTCCCTATGCGTGTGGTGCGGTACAGAATGCTTATATGCCTCCCGGGATATCCATCTTCAAAACTGGGTGGAGTTGGATAAAATCACACTGTCACTTCCAATATTCCCAAACCCCATGTCAAGGACAGGCGGAATTCTGCACCCCTTACCTTGATAAAATTCTTCGACTAATTTTCATGTTACTGTCAGACAAATTACACAACGACAAAAGCTTTCAAAAGCAGTAACTTAAATATCAAGGACTGTAACCTACTACTGACATTTGCCGTTGTACTTCAAAGGCAATAACTTAAATATCAAGGACTGTAACCTACTACTGACATTTGCAGTTGTACTTCAAAGGCAATAACTTAAATATCAAGGACTGTAACCTACTACTGACATTTGCCGTTGTACTTCAAAGGCAATAACTTAAATATCAAGGACTGTAACCTACTACTGACATTTGCAGTTGTACTTCAAAGGCAATAACTTAAATATCAAGGACTGTAACCTACTACTGACATTTGCCGTTGTACTTCAAAGGCAATAACTTAAATATCAAGGACTGTAACCTACTACTGACATTTGCCGTTGTACTTCAAAGGCAATAACTTAAATATCAAGGACTATAACCTACTACTGACATTTGCAGTTGTACTTCAAAGGCAATAACTTAAATATCAAGGACTGTAACCTACTACTGCCATTTGCAGTTGTACTTCAAAAGCAATAACTTAAATATCAAGGACTGTAACCTAACTACTGCTTTTACTTACCTTGTACTTTAAAACATCTAAATGGATAGGTGCTATTTTGCAAATGTATTAAAAAATGCAGAGCTAAAGTTAATTTTTAAAAAATTCTGTATTCAAATACTTTTATATTATGATGTTATGGTTGAATTTATTGTAATATGTTATTTTATTAAAATTTAGCATAAAATATATCCATGCGCTGTAAAGTATATTTCAGTTGTATCTAGAAATCTCAAATAGATTTAATTAAAATATATATATATATATTTCAGTGACGAATGGAAGAATTATAATTTTAGAATCTAAATGAAATGTTTAGTTAACTTTTATATAAAACAATTTTTTAACTCTGACTGAAGTTGTTGTCATTAACAGTGCATCAAAATATTTACTTCCTTTGAGCAAGAATAAAAAATCTGATATGGGCACCACATGACTGCCTTGTAATATGGTCTATTAAATAATATATATTTTTTGCTGCACTTTATTAAAATTTATTTAATCGACTTTCATTAGAGATATACTTCTCATTACACCAATTCAATTCTTACTTCGAGGTAAGGCAAAAATGCATAAAGTCTTCAATTAAAAAAGAGTAAAATGCAGAAATATCTTAAATACAAATTACAGTTAAAAACTACTAAAAAAATCCTTTTTATAACCAAAATTTGAATTTCTACGACAAGATAAACAATTCGTCCAACGGGCAGGAAGGTAAAATTTTCGGTGCACAAAATTGAAAGTTAAATTTCGGTCCCATTAGTCAAAAAGCACTGACATTAGTGTATAAAGTGACTATTCTACTACAAGTGTCAAATGTAAAAAAAATGGCAGCTTCGTTAGGCTTGGTACCACTTAAACAACTTTTAAATTGTTGAAAATTCTACAACTATAACATTCAGATTAATTAAATGCGTAAAAACCTTAACCAGAAACTTAGAACAATATAATTCAATCACTTTTAAAGCGAAAAATTCACCATTTACCAACATATAAGAATAAAGAAAGTGAGCTCACCGAGCCCAGTTAATAGAGTGAATACACGTATATACATATATTTACATACTTTTGGTGAGGTCAATCGCAATGAAAAAGGGAGGTGCACAACTACATGTTATAGCAATCTCATACATAAAATTTCAATGTTCTGAGGTTAGGTTAGGTTATTCAATTACGGTAAAGCCTCGATGGCTATCTGCCTAAGGGGAGGGATGTCTTCGTGGAGGACTTTCTAAGGGAAACTGGCTCGCATACACGTTACAGATGGGGAAAACAACGAAAACACCCATGCAGCCTACCCGTTCGCGGGATTCGAACCTCGGACCGAACTACCAGTGTTCAGCGACTTTACCGCTCGGCCGCTGGTGGGCTCGATGTTCTGAGGCTACTGGATTTTGAGTTATGAGAGATATATACATACGTACAAACATCACGAAACATATCTCTTCTGAGTCCATTGTAAATCCATTTTACATTCCGTTTAAGGGGGGGGGGAAGTTCTTTATTCTGTCCTTACGTACAGATGTCACGCAAAAACATTGTTTAATTGGATTCGAGAGCGGTCAAAATGGATATTTTCATTGAAACACGAATTTTTTCGTGAATTACAATACCTCTTTTACTTCGTATAGAGAAGTCAAAATAATATCTAAAATAATATGATTTGGAAACTTAATAGCATTTCGGAAAAAAATGTCCCACGTATACGTACAGGACTGGCAATGCTATTTTTATTAGTGCATAGATGTGCAAGCAAAGTACTTTGAAAAAGATGCACGTGTATATTTTTCAAAGGTGCACTCCATGAACTGAACTGTAGCATCTTGTGTCTCTTTTGAGGATAGTCTTCGATGTCGATGATATCGAAGATGATGAACATGTTTTTAAATACAAAATTTATTTTTATTTATATCAATATTCATTGTCATAATAAAAATTAAATACAATCAGAATTCCCTGATTTTTTTTTTTTTTTTTTAATGTATTGCAGAATGTGACTGTGGAAGAGCTGGATTCTGCTCTTATAATGGAACTCAGAAAATGTGTTTTTGCAACATAGATTATGTGGAGTATTACGGAAAATGCAAATGTAAGTAAACATGTTTTACGGTACATTTCTCTTTCCTTTTGAAATAAATTAATTTATGACAACCGCCGAGCATTTTGTATATCACAAGATAAGTTAGATTTCAAGGCGACATGATAATTCAAATAAATCTTTTCCAATGAAAGATTTATCTAACACAGGTAATCGAAATTAACTAATGCTTACAACATAGAAGTATGTTTTTTCCTGTAAATGGAAAAAAATACCAGTATAAATCTATCTTCAGGCTAGCACTGTGGCTGAAATTTATCTGCTTAGAAGCTGAGTGTTAGATAATGGTTTGGTTTATTTAACTATAGCAACACTCTCGAGGGCTCTCTGCATATTGGGAGAGATGCCTTCGTGGAGGTCTTTCTAAGGAAAACTCCTTCGCATACACGTTAAGCATGAGATTATCCGGAAACGCGCATACAGCCAGGATTTGAAGTGGGGGTTTGAACCGCAGACCGACCTACCGATGTTCAGCGATTTTACCGCTCAGCAGCTGCTGGGTGTTAGATAGTGAGCTACATGATAAAACATTCTCAGGTATAAAAATAAGATAAATTAATTATATTAAGATAAAAACCTTTTAATATGTACGCGGAAATACTTCGTTTATTTGTATGACAAATTTATAAAATTGATAGAAAATCTCTGGGTACTTTCGTATTATACCGTGGACCGTTGGGGGAAATCGCGGTAAGGGGCGCCAGTTTCCAGCCGTTACTGCGGAATTTTAAGGGAAGTGGTCATCCATGTTGGGCGTTTAATCGCACTATTTGGCCGTTCAACGAGATAATACTTAATTACCAATTTATGAATAAAGGAGCATGTTAAGAAGAACATATAATTCTATACGCAATAAATAAACTTCTATATTATAGGAAACCTTCTTAATTTTCCTACAAGGAAAGGAAAAAATTGTCTCTGGAATCTTACAACAACATAATTCAATCAATTTTAAAGCGAAAAATGCACTATTTACCAACATATAAGAATAAAGAAAGTGAGCTCACCGAGCTCGGTTAATAGAGTGAATATACATATATACATATACTTACATACTTTCGGTGAGGCCGATCGCAATCAATAAGGGAGGTGCACAACTACATGTTATAGCAATCCCATACACTTGTGTCCTGTTTCATCTTCATACGGATCAATCTTCACTGCTAAATGAAGCAGGTCCTGCCCCTTTTCTAACAATTCATTTAAGTTAAAAGTGCTATATCATCTTCATAATCACTGGTTTCAGCGTCGGCTAGGGTTGTGGGATCATCTTATTCTTCGTTCGTGAATTCTCAATTAATTCTTTGACTTCTTCCAAATTTGAAAATTTTTCGTTGCAAGGTCCTTTCGTAATTTGTTCCATATGTATGTTAACTATATAATATAGAATATGTATATTTTAGGCATGTTTTTGACTATTACGAATCATATAATGGAATGATTAGAGCAGTCGGCAATTTTATACAGTGAATAGTTTAGTGACAGAAGACGAGAGCACCACCCCTCTACTACGGCGATTAATTGGTATAGCACCGTGCCCCCCTTATCTAGAGCACCCCAAGGTGGTATGGGGAAAGGAAGGGTGAGGACCACACGAATTCCCCAACCAGTCGCCGTGACCCAACATATTTATTGAATATCATGTAAAAAATATGCCAAACAAGGGCCATGGCAGATAAGTACTTTGCCATACTTAGGGCTTTAAGTGACATACATATGCAGCATAATACTGCATAAGACATTCAATGATATATGACATTTGACACAGTGGGATATACGGAGTGATTCTAAATTGTTTTTACATATTAAGAGGGGTGATAGTACTTCTTCAGATGAGCAATAATTACCCGTAGAACATAAGGTCGCATTCCACTCTGAGAGGCAGAAATGAGGAATATTATAATTCCAACCTGATCTTACAATAGTGTTGGGACAGCGAATGAACGAGACCAAAAGCTGCGCGATAAGTTTAGTGAAAAACTCACAGAGCGTGCACAAAACGGATAAAACCGAAACCTTGACGTTCGAGTGCTAATTCGAGCTCAGACTACATTTTAGCTTTTTTTTACATATATTATTGTTATAGCATAAGTCTTTTGACACTCATAATCAGACTTTTTCTGAAACGATAGAGAGGGTTTTTTTTTTTTTTTTTTTTTTTTTTTTTTTTTTAGTCCAAAGGGATTTGAATCCGGAAGGACTATTAGTTTCGTTTTGGCATTTTGCGTCGGACTCATAAATGTCGGTTCACTTTTCAAACTGTTGCCACAAATGTTAGAGTCCTGCATTATATTTGAAGAAATTAAATAATGAAAAAAATCTGCATAAATGTATGTATATTTCTCGTATTGTGATAAAACACGGTACATAGAGTCATCGAATTTTGAATAACGTAATCCTCCAACGAATATGAGAGCATGTGGAAGACCAATTTGAAATTTGAAATTTGTTTTATGATCGATTTCCTATTTTTTAAAAACTTTGACGAATTTTTTATTAACAAACTCGAGGATTTCAAAGCGAGGCAATGGCAACGTTGTGCAGAAAAAACATTTTTATCTCCAGCGCGTGAGTCTCTGTATCGGAAATTCTAAAGATATGCTCGTTTTAAAACTATTTTGCGATATTGCTGTTGCACTGGATCTTATGGTTTAAGTGCGAGGAACATGATATTTAATAAAGAAAGGTAACACACAAAATGTTAAAAAACGCCCCTTTGGACGTAATTTAAAATCTGAAACATTTCAGATTTTTTTTTTTTTTTTTTTTTTGCAAAAATCGCATTTTTATTTTCAAACCACAGCTCTCAAAATTTTAGCTCCTTAGTGTTAATGGAATTTAGTGTATATTTATTAATATCTCATTTTTTTAATTACACTTACATGGTTCCTTCTTTCACAATTCAAAATTTAAGTTCAATCCAAACACAATTCGCATGTATTTTCTGATTTGTTTTTAAAATTTGTGCTTTTTAGTAAGTTTTGTTTTATTTTTGGAAAAAATATTTGAATTATAACCTACAATATTTTTACTATCCTCTTGAAGGATATGCATTTTTTGTTTTGCCAACCAAAAATTAGAATTTTTATTCAAAATTTCCCAAGATATATACTTATTTATATATTACATGTTCTGAAATTTGGCATATTTCTCATAAGCCATGATAACATCAGATATGGTTTAAGCACTTTATTAAAATTATTTGAAAGAATGAACGATGCGCCTTTTCTTCCCCTCGTGCGCAATGAAAGGTTACCATAAACTAAGAATTTTGCCAAGAGAATTTTTCTCGGCGCTAGCTTAAAAAAGTGCGCCAAGATAAATATTTTAATTTCTCAGTAAGTTTCTGTCAAATTTATAATATTCAGGCATAATTTGAATCGTAGAATGGAAATATGGAAAAAATAGGTATGCCATTTGAGAAACAGTTCCATTTTTTGTCAAAATACCTATATTAGAGCAGAGCTAAGTGGCAAGTCGCACTTTCGAGACATAAAAACTATTCCCGAATGATGAAATTGTATGGCCAGTGGAATGGAATGTACAGAACTGTCTCTTTTTTTTGCAGCGTGTTCTTTGGAACTGGACCAGGACTGGAATAATTGCAGCTACCCATGGCAAAATGTTCACACTCCAAGCTGAGAAGAGTAGATTTATTCTCCTTTGATGACCGAATATTTCAAAACAATTGTGTATAATATACGCACACATTTTGTTTGCACAAGCATAAACATGCGTTAACTGTCCTGCTTTTAACGGAAATTTCAATCTTCGTATTTCAAAGTTTCAAGTTTTTCTTAGCCCGTTCATCTGTTATTCTTCCAGATTGCTATTGTGGACGGAACGGAAGATGCAGTTTCAATAGTTTCGGATCACCAGTTTGTGACTGCCTTCCAGGATATGGCCAAAAGGATGGATACTGTCAAGGTAAGACAACATATGTTATACAGCATGCGTCCAAAAGTTGCCAAAAATAAAAGGCATATGGACTTTAGTTTCGCAATCGTCGGTGGTAGACATATACTTCCAATTACAAAAATGCTTTAAATGAGTAATCTTCTATTATTGGGACCAGATTCAGAAATGTAATGTATGCATGCACTTGAGTACTTGTATATATATCAGTATATGCGTATGTGTGCACACACACATATACATAAGTACACATGTACAAACGCATACATGAACACGTACATCCATACACACATAAAGTTCTGAATCCGGTCCCGATAACAGAAGAGTACCTTTAAATGATACAAAGATTAATGTTTTGGCATTTTTATGTTTAAAAATTTCAATTTGAAAAAAATCAAATTATCTGACTATTTTTACGTTCCTCTAATCGTCCATACTTTATGTTCGTCATACTTTATGTTAAGTATTGCACTCATTATAACAAATAAGCCATAAAATGTTTGACTCCCGTACGACTAAAAATTTACCAATATATTTTGTAATAAAGTCGAGCATCAAGTTCAGAAGCCATGATACTACAGACGCCGTCCAGACGGTATGGTGGTCAGGAGAGCCTGCTGTGAAACCGAAAGGCCCGTGTTCGAATGACGAATTCATGAATGTTTCTAAATGTATAGTGTTTTTGAGGCTTGTGGGCACTCTAAATATACTGCGAGCCAAAAATCCTCTGATGTGGTTTGGTGGCAAGGCAGAGGGGTGGGAGAGCCAAACAATATGTATTGTTAAGAAGGAAAGCTTCACAGCAGCAGGAGTGGCTCCCTACGAATGAAAAGGGACACAACTGCGCATGCGTGAAATATCTGTCGCCAAAAAGCGCCAAAGCTCGAAGCTGATGTCGAAGTTCGAACAGGTTCGACGGTGACGTTTATCAAGAGTTTAAAGCTGTGTGACTCCCTTTTTTTTCCTACATATTGACAGATATAAGATCAGACATCAAACTGCGATATGGTTCAACTAAGTTCAACTAGTAAAGCAAATAAGCACGAAAATTCGAGCTTAAATTATCGCGAAAAGTCAAAGAACGATTCACCTTAACCCGTCTTCCTCAATTTCCTGTACACGTGGCGAAGATGGAAAATCTCGGCCAGGTACATCACAAAGGGGGAAATTCTCGCCAACAGGTTTCGTCGCCAAATCCCTTGGCGAATTGTCCCTCTTCTTCCTAGCGGCGTAGAAGACAAATTGGTTTACATTACGTCTATGAAGCATTTTCTTCTTTACATAGACTTTTTGTGGGAGAGCCTCGGAAGATCCTGCCACGGGTGCTCTTCCTCAAACCTGAGGTAGAAATGGACGTCCAACCTCCTTGAGGCTCTGGCAATCGTTCTTACGTAAAATACACGTACAAGACAACAACAACGACAACAGTACTACGAACAGAAGAATGAAATGTATGTAACTAAAAATAGTGTTCCCAAAAGAGCCCTGGATTTAATATGCACGAAAGGTTATATTTTATTCTTAGAAAATGGAAAATACGTGCAGTTTTACATATGTTCTAATTTAATAATGTCCAGTTCGGTACGACCTGGTAATGGCGTTGTATCACTATCAGTTCATTGCACTAGTTCATTACAACCACTTCATTATAGACAGCTACACAAAGGAATAGCGACTTCAGGTTCTAAAAATGTATTACCAGAATAGAGAGTATTATGCACAGACTACGATAAAGCTCCATGGACGTGAACGCTGGACATGAAAGTGTCTGAAATGAAATAACATTTCGCAGACTGATAAAGAAGTTTGAGGACATATGTTCGACAGCATTAAATCACCATGCTAAATGTGTTAAAAGGTTTTCCACTTCCTGTAAATAAAGTATTTTGTTTTTGTTATCGCTGTTTGTTATGTATCGTAAAGGCCTATTCAAACAGTGCCATGTGCGCAGACGATAGCCCTGGCAATTTGCAAAATAATATCATCGTAGAGGTTCCGTCTCTTAACCCTTTGCGGCACGATGTGCTCGGTCTGGGCCCACCTAAAAATTTCCTTCTGTACGCACAGAAAAATCGAATGAAAAAGGATTTAAAGATTACTATAGGTTACTCTGAACTTTCTTTCTTTATAGTAGATGGTAGCTCAACACAAAACAGTCCATATATTTTAGCCATGTTTAGTTTTTTAAAGAAATTTCAAAGAAATCTTCCAGATCTTTTTTAGGGTATAAAAGGAATTGTTTGAAAAGTAATTTCTATGGTATTTTTTTGGCTGTATGCTAATCTCCTTATTCTATATTAGTTTTAAATTTTTATCTTCAAATGTTTCCTAAAATCGAACGGCGAACCTTAGGTGTGCGCAGACCGGGCACACCAAGACTCTAGGACAACTGAGAGACTGTATTCTTTGTTTCTCCGCATGTCATCGGTAAGTTCATTGACAACAGAAAGGTGGATACACATCTGTGTTTCATTTTCTGTTTTTCTCCTTTTCTCTCTCTCTCTTTCTTTGTTTTGGGGGCGGAGGGGCTGGGGACGTTTGCTTATTAACTAACAAATTGTTGGGGAGATTGTTAGTTTATTTTTTATTTGCTATTACGTGGGCTGGCATTATCTTATTGGAAAATGGCCCCGTGAAGGGTAATGCAACTGGCCGCAGGATGGTATCAACATATCCTTGAGCTGTTAAAGATGTACGGAGGATGACTAAAGATGATTTGCTGTCACAAGAAATAGTGCTCCACACCAGGGGTTATGGCTGTATGCTTTTGTAAAACAAAGGCTGATTAGGACCGCTGGCTTCGTCTTCTCCAGACACGAACACGGTGGTCATCTGCTTCAAGATTGAAGCGGGACTCATCGCTGAACACTATACGGTGCCAGTCTGATGGCAGCCACGGTGATCGGCTGCGACACCATTCCAGACGACTCCGCCGATGATGTGGGTTCAAAGACAAACTTCTTAATGGCGTCTGTTAGCGTAACCCTACCTCAGACTCAGACAAGCGCCGTGAGATGGCGGTACCACGGGAGATATAGCCGTGGCTGTAGTGCGTTGAATAGTCGACAATGATACCGTTGTGGCGGTTCGGGCCTGGCGAAAAATCAGCTTAGCTTGGCTCGCATTTGTGATCCTTGGCCTTCCAGAGCCTTCATTTCGTCGGCAAGTTCCTTGTAGCAACCATTGCTGCCAACATCTTTGCACAGCAGTGTCTGTACGCTGCAGGTGGCGGCTTTTTGCTCGGTATGACCACCCAGCTTCACGCAACCCTGCAATGCGACCACGTTCGAAGTCGTTTAGTTGTCTGTAAGGTCTTCGATATCGTCATAACGGCATCTTCAGTTGCTTTTTTACGAAATTACAATGGCTGCAACGAAAAGAGATAAATTTTCCGCCTTTGTTACTGGTTTCATACTTTGCGAATTGCGCACTAGAACTGCGCGCTATGATCGCAATTCCTGTCCGTTTGCCTTGAAACTTTGATCATTTGCATGTTCGATTAAGATGTTTTTGCATACCAAATTTCGTCACGATCGCAAAAGTCCTTCTTGGTGCTTCGATATTTTTGCAAAAGAGTGTATTTTTTCTCTTCTATCGAAAAGCATCAAAATCAAGAAGTGCTTACGAAAGTTTGGTTTAAAACTTCTGATGATTCTTTGCTTCATAGGCTGGAAAACACTTGTGAAATTCAATGGTAAAATTTCAATCCTGATCATTCCCCACGTATGCGCAGGATTTATGACTCATCACTAACATTCGGTTAATTCGGAATATTAAAGAAAATTTTCCAAGAAAGGATTAGTTGAGCTGGAAGTCGATAGAAATTTTACGAATTGCAAAACTACTGCTCACTGTAACCGAGCCTTGCTTGTTAAAAGCGAGTTATGTTTCCATAAACTTAAAATTGTACCAATCAAGTATTTTCATTTTCCCCTTTTAATCCGGATTTTCATTAAATCAGGATTTTTTTATAATCGCGTTGTACTGCATAGTATCATTTTCTGAAAAACTTTATGCATTATACTAATCAATTAAATCTATTTTCAGAATGTAAATGCGGTAGAGGAGCAAGCTGCACCTTTTATTCCAATGGCAAGCAATGTTTATGCCCCAAATATTACGAAGAAAAAGATGGAATTTGCGTTCGTAAGTATGTTATTGTAATAGACGTTCTGCCGTTTTTAATGTGATCTAAAAATTAAAAAATAATAGTGTGGTTAAATGGAAGCTATAATGAAATATAAATTACCTAATATAAGATGTTTCAGAATGGTTTCAAAACTAAAAATTTCTTAACCAGCTGGTTGCAAGTCAATTCTTGAAGCTACCGAGACGAAGCAAAAAGAACCAATAAAGCACGCTTTTACAATTTTGTTGCCATTACACATTTAATAATATGTATGATTAAATTAATTTCTGGTTATTAATAAAAAGATCTCATGTCGACACCATATGACTTCCTTGCACAGAATATTAAATGATAAGCACTTTTTGCTCATTTCATTTAAACTTATGTCATCGAAATTCATCAGATACATTTCTCATTCAATTAATTCAGCTCTCACTTCATGGAAAGGCAAAAATACACAATACCTCAAAATATCCTTACTAAAAATAACAAAATATCGAAAAGTATAAAAAACCAAATACAGTTAAAAGAAAGAATTTTATCAATTGAAATTAGAGTGTATACTTTTCGCGATTACAATACTTCCTATAAATAATATGAGTATCATCATACTCATATTACTTAAATATGAGTATATTACTTAATAGTATATTACTTAAACATGAGTATAATTAATAATTGAAGTTATTATTGTCAAAAGAAGTTCTCTAATTGCAAAAAATTTAGGGTATCATATTTTAAAAGAAATACCCATTTTGATGGTTCCCGATTCAAAATGGACATTTTTTTTTTTTTTTTTTTTTTTTTTTTTTTTTTTTCCGTGGAGCCTGTACGTGCGGACAGAATAAAGGACTCCTTGTTTCTGAAATGGATAGTGAACTGGATTTAAAATGGATTTTAATGGGATTTTTTCCCTTCATGTCTATACGTACGTATGTACCCATGCGTGTATACGTATCTAGCATAATTCAAAAACAACTGGCCATAGACCGTTGAAATTTTGTATATGAGACTGCTATAGCGTCTACTTAGGCACCTCCTTTTTTATTGTAATCGGTGCGAACGGGCTGGCTGCATGGGCGTTTTCGTGGTTTTCCCCATGTGTAACGTGTATACGAGCCAGTTTCCCTTAGAAAGTCCTCCACGAAGGCATCCCTTCCCTTAGGCAGATAGCCCTTTGTGCTTTGCCATAATTAAATACACCACCACCACCTTTTATTGTAATCGGAAGAACTAAGCACATGTACAAGGTGGTCACGTAAAAAACATCCCCGATGTATGAACCCCTAGTGGTCTATCTGCTCAACCAATCGAATTGAAATTTGAGATATTGTTATTTGAAGATATGCGCTGATTTAAAACAATACAGCTGTCATAGTTTCGGTTACAGTGAAAAATGTCATAATTTTCGAATGGCAATACCCAATTCCTTTTTCCCTTAGCGAACCGATCAATGCATTCAAATACCGCAAATGGCGCTAAAACGGTACATGGATGACGGAAACTGCAGCGTGAGACATTTGAAAGATGAGCATTGGAAAAAATCCAATAACTATACAAGAGAAGAGAGAGAGAAAAAAAAATTATTGAGTTCACAAGTTTTCGACCTGCCCACGTTCGCAGACGAGAATGCATTGCATGCAGGGCCAGAGAAAATGGCGAATGTAATATCGTAGAAGGAATCTGTATAACAACATGTTTTATGGCATCTTTTCAGTTCTGACAAATCTTGTAGATTTGAAAAATCTCATAGATTCTCTTAGATCAAATAACCCCAGAACCAAAAATCTGTCGAGTAAGAGAGGGGTATCGGTGTGGTTACGAAACATTACGGTAAAAGACTCTATCTCGAAACGTTTTACACGTTAAAAACTTGTAATTCCAGAAAACGTTTGTTCTCTCTCCTCCCCCGTGCTGAGATTGATTCTTTACAATAACCAAATATATTGCCACCAAATTATTCTTCCCTGTAAGTGCTTTACGTTGGTAATTTCCGTTATACATGTATCGTTCGAACACCATTTATGGTTTTTCAATGTACTGATAAATTGGTGCGAAAATGTCAAAATGTTTTCTTTGTAACCGTAATCATGAGGGGAAGTTTAAGTAAAGGGCAGTAAAAATGTGTATAATTTATGTACAAGGCAGTACAACGAAGTTATGTAGTATTCACATCAGATTCTTATTAAAACTTATCATTATCAAACCTTATTTTAAGCCAACTTCCTTAGCTCTATGAGTGGCCGCTGAATACTGGAATTGATTCTGTGGAAGTTCGATCACAGGGAAACAAATTGGTTTTCGTGGTTTCCTCCTATGTGAAATGAATACCAGCAAATTTCCCTTTGAAATTCCTCCATGAAAGCATCTGTCCCCATAAGCATATAGCTTGTGCACTTTGAAAATTTAAATAACATAATCTATAACTCTGCTGTTAAACTGGAACTATGCGTTTTCTAGCATCTTCTAGTATATTATTATCTTTCTAGTATATTATTGATACAATTGTTATAGAAATATTTTTAGGTTTCGTTTTATGATATTACAATATAATAACTGTTTTTCTTCTTGCTAATATCAAACACATACTTAATACTGCAATTCAATAAATATATTAAAAATATCTGAAAGGTTTCAGATTTTAAATTTCATCCAAAAGGGCGTTTTTCAAATATTTTGTGCGTTACATTTATTTATTAAATATCATGTTCTTCGCATTTAAACCATAAATTCAGTTCAAGAGCAATATCGCAAAATATATTTTAAATTGAGTATATCTTTAGAATTTCCGACACACAGAATCACACGCTGGAGATAAAAATGTTTTTTTCTATACAACGTTGCCATTGCTCGGTTTGAAATCCTTGAGTTTGTTAAGCAAAAATTCGTTTACCAAAGTTCTACAAAATATGAAATCGACAATAAAACAAATTCCAGATTTCAAATTTGGGCTTCCACATGCCCATATTCCCAATAGGATTACGTCATTCAAAATTCGATGGCTCTAGGTACCGTTGTTTTATCACAGTGCGAGAAATCTACATAATTTATGCAGATTGTTCATTATTCAATTTCTTCAAATATAATATGGGGCGAAAATATTAGGTGGCAACAGTTTGAAAAGTGATACAGCCTTTTAAAGATTTCGACACAAAAAGCCAAAATGAAAACAATAGTCCCTCAGAGACAAAGCCCCTTTGGACTAAAAAAATGCTTAATATTGCTCTTTTCAACTGTTTCTAACTTTCTGTATGTGTTTCTATGTGAGTAGCAATTCCTTGTTTTCGCATCAGAGCTTTCTTTATAGTATAGAAGAGCTTTTATATAAAACAAAAAATCTTTCAATTAAAAGGAACTAACATCATCAGCCCAAAGGAGCGTTATCTGAGAAAGGCTATATTTTAATTAATATTAAATTATTTCGCTAATTTCGTTTTAGCATTTTGCGTTGGTTCACTATAAAAGTCTGAATCACTCTTTGAATTGTTGCCAACAAATATTAGAGCCCGTGCATTATATTTAAAGAAATTAAATAATGAAGAATCTACAAGTGTGTATGTTTCTTACATTGCGAAAAATCAACGGTACCAAGAGACATCAAAGTTTGAATAACGTAGTCATCTATTCAATATAGGCGTCCGAAAGCCCAAATTCGGAATTTGTTTTAATATCTATTTCCTATTTTTTTTTTTTTTTTTTATTAACAAGCTAAACAATTCCAAAGCGTTCACTAAGATCGCGTGCATCTTCAAGCACGGATATTTTATGGGCGAGGTTCATTTTTTTTAACCCAAAAGGGCTATTAATTTCAAAATGCCATTTTGGGTCGATTCACTTTTCAAACTGTTGCCACCAAATATTATTGCCATGTATTATATTTGAAGAAACTAAATAATGATGAATCTGCATGAATGTATGAAGGTTTTTCGTATTGTGAACAAACAAAGGTATCTAGAGCCATCCAGTTTTGAATAACTTAGTCCTCCAACCGAACACGGGCACGCGGAAGCCCAAATTTTGAATTTCAAATTCGTTTTATTATCAATTTAAAATTTTGCCAAGCTTTAGCGAATTTTTGTTTAACAAACTTAACGATTTCAAAGCGAGCAATGGCAACACTGTAGAGAAAAATAAAATTTATCTCTATCGGGGCGAGACTGCTGTGTACTGCAAATTCTAGAGATAAGCTGTATTGATGTTTTTTAAATATTTTGTGATATTGCTGTTGAATTTAATTTTATGGCTTAAAGGCGAACAATATGATATTTAATATATAAACGTAACACGCAAATCGTTAATAAAAAACACCCCTTTGGACCCTAATGTAAAATCTGAGAGCTCTGAGGTTTTCTTTTATGGTTTTTTTTTTTTTTTTTTTTTTTTTTTTTTTTTTTTTCACATAATTTTATCATTTCAGTAATTGAGGACTGCAATAAACCTAACGCTTGTCCGTTTACAACAAAATGCATAGACCGCGAAGGAGGAGGATATGAATGTGTTTGTGCCGAGGGCTTCACTCCAATTTTCGATAAGTACACAGGTTTGCAAGATCCAAATAAATACGGATGCAGAGGTAAGAGGCTTTTAAACGTCTTCTTATTTCTTTTTAACATAATTTTGTATTAACTATTTATTTTATTTATTTTGTATTAATTATTATTTTTAACATAATTTTGTATTAATTTATTAAGGTTATAAGGTATTTTTCCCTGCGCCTTCTTCGCATGCCTTCGTGGTGTAGTGGTCAGCACACTCGGCGCGTATCGAAAGGGCCGTCGTTCGAGTCCCAGCAAGGGCACTGCTCAATTTTCATCTTTCTTGATTTTAAAAAATACCTAATGTATCTACAGTGGCACCCGAACTAAAAATGGTGGTGGATGATGATTCTCCACCCCTAATCCCCAGTCGCCCTTTAAAGGGGGAGTGTATAAGGTATTCCCCCGCCTTCTTAGCATGCCTTCGCGGTGTAGTGGTCGGCACACTGGGCTCGTATCAAGATGCCCGTGGTCACGGCGAGGGTACTGCCCTCGCCGTATTGAATAGTATTGTCATTGTGAATAGTAATTGTGAATAGTATTGCCTCGTCGTATTGAAATAGGAAACGCAAGTAATATAAATGTCCGAATCACCTGACATTTATGTTTTCCCAAAATAATTTCAATCATTTTGTGCCTCATATTTCTATCATATATCACATTTTATTCACTGACATTTATGGAAATAACATTTCTAGAAGTTACCTAGCACCAAATGGGGAAGGTATAATTTCTTAAGTAGCTCAAGTGGCAAAACATTCGATGATGCTCGACAATCTTCGACGGAAGATACAATTTACTTTCGCACATTAATCATTGTCATTTATGACTAGGCTTGCCATAATATTTTTGGCTGAAACAGGGACATTTTTTCCCTAAACCTGGCAATTTTCTATAAAATAATCACGACAGAAAATGAAAACTATTAGGATAAGTATTGCTCTGTGCGTTCTGGAATTTTCCGCAGAGATATTCGAAAAATTGTTCACAATATCACGCTGTAATAATCAGTAATTATACTTCAAACTACTAAACATGTTAATATACAATCTATCTAAAGAGAAAGCTAAATCTATCTTAGTTCACGCAAAACTAAACTACTCGCAAAAACAGTAACTAAGCAGCTGAGTTGAGATGCTCTTTCAGTGGCTTTTTATAGATTTCAAACGGTCGCGAGATATTTCTAGTATTTTCTGCTTCTCGAGATTGTTGGAAAGCAAATAGAGTGGAATTACGGTTACAGCTAACAGAGTATTCAATTTCAATATAAATTATCGAGATAACCAGTTACTTCAATGCTAAATGCACATGCCCGTGTGTTTTTACTTTTCCTACATAACTTTATCTTAAAATTTGTCTCGCGCTACATTGCACGGGGAAATACAGCAATTTTAATTATAATTCTACTGAAATTAGCTATGTAGAAACTGAGTGTTCAATTTATATTCGTATATTGTGGTCAGTATCTGCACACGTGCTTAATGTTTGTAACTTTGAAATTTTGAATTTAGAAATTAAAAAGATTATTTTTACCTTTTGAATTTAATGAGATAATTGTCTTTGTATTCGTAGTTAGATGTTTTAATGTGTAACTGTTGCAATTATTAATGTTACAAAGAATAAAAAGACTGTTGTGTCAATAATTTGTACATTATTTGAGTTTTGGGTATTAGGAATATCGATTTGTGGCTGAGTTTTGAAATCGGTATCCGACAAGCTATCTACGCAAATACAAAATTCGTAACAGTATCTATGATTGTAAAGACTATGTAAAAAAGTTCTTATTAAAACCCCACAATGAATAAAAAGAAATTTTTAATATCTCAACTGAACATATAATATTATTACGAAGTAATTAGAATTTATCGCTAGGGTGAATTTTCTTTGAAAAATTTTATTTTTTTTTTTAATGTTATCGAAACGTTCAATAAAATTTAGTTCGCATCTTAGTAAAGCTTTTAGACTTGATTCCGTCATTTTGCGTCTTTTTTTTTTCAGACCGGATGATATTCAATGTTAAGAATACTCTTTCGATGTGTCTGACATACTTAAGATGCATTATTTCATTTGAACAAGAATCTGAAATGAAATGCTATTTACTTCAAAATGGCTGAAACTTGCATCTATTTTTCTTTACAACTTTTATTTTTCAAATTTCATAATTAACTGAACGAAAACGTTTTGCAAAAATTCCTCGCCGTGCACGTGATCCATATTTATTGTATCATTTCCGACAATTCCATTGGCCCACCAGCGGCTGAGCGGTAAAGTCGCTGAACACTGGTTGTTCGAATCTCGCGAACGGGCCGGCTGGCTGCGTAAACGTTTTCGTGACTTTTCCCATGTTTAGCATGTATACGAGCCAGTTTTCACAAGAAAGTTCTCTACGAAGGCATGCATCCTCTTTTGCAGATAATCCTAGAGGCTTTGCCGTATTCATATAAACCAAACCAAACTGACAGTTTTCTTAATTGTTTCGCCTGAAGCTTCAATTTTAGAACGTGTTAATTCACTGCTGTTTATCCAAATAAATGATCCGGTTAGAGTATATTGAGTGAGTGAATGAGAGATTATGGCGCAAAAACCAAAGATGATTATAGCGTGCCAAACACGAGATGGGATGATTACAATTGATGACATTAAAATTCAATAAATAAAAAAGGGTAGACAAATGTACCAAATTCAAAGGATGAAGTCATATAAAAACAAGTTAAAAGCACACATTAAAATTCAAGACACAGTCTTCAAAACAAATTACATTAGGTAATAAAAGCCAGTCTCTTTTAAACAATAAAATAAATTACAATTGACCTCTCTTCCAATTAAACGGTCGAGAGGTAAGTCACAGCTATTAAAATATTTCTGGCGAAGACTATTAAAACATGGACACTCAATTAAAATATGACGAACAGATAAAAAAACATTACAATTAAAACAAATAGGTTCATTTTCAGCTTTGAGAAGATAGTTATTTGTCACTCTAGTGTGACCAATTCTGAGGCGAGTCAAAGAACTCCTCCTTACGATTTCCAGCAAAGTCCCAATGCTCAATTCTAGACTTGACATTTCTCAACTTGTCGGGACCTTATCTTTTTATTCTACAAAATAAAAACAGTAAAATAAAATGCACTTACCATAATACATTCGTTAATAAAATTTTGCCAGTCACACAACGTCTGTGAACAAAAGTGACAGGATTTACTATATCACATGTCTTTCTGCGATTCAAAATTTCGAAAGTAACGATAAAAACTTCCTCCAAAGTTAACTTACTACACGAAAACCACGATCCAAATCTTAAACTCCGCTGACAGCCACATACTTTGCCAGCAACCATTTAACTGCAGATCCACACAAGAACTATCAGAAACTCCCTTCTTTGTCCGAGTTCTCATAGCAGCTCCGCATTTCGGACTCCGTTTTAAAAGTCCCACAAAAATTCCAAAAATACACTTAGATCCTCAACACACCCGTGAAAAAAAGACTCGTTAACAACTCCAACATCGTACCTTTTAATACTGTTACGAAAAGTACAGGCGCGGTGAGATGGCTTCCCCGCAAAGCAGGATTAGGGTTGCCATAAAATAGCAAAGAAAAGCAGGGTGGCCACATTTTGGCGAGAAATCGCACATTTGGCGATAAAATTGGCGATGTACCATGGACGGATGGAGAACCTTCTGGAACGAATTCTTACCGGTTTAGCCCATAATGTTCTCGAACACAAGCCGAAAGCTATATAAACTCTGCTAGTCCGCAGTCAGTTAGTGTGTGTGTGTGTGTGTGTGTGCTTCATCGAGAGGGCGAGTCAGAGTCGCTCGTCTGGAGTGTGAGAGAGTTAGTATCGAGTTGGTGTCTCATTTAGCGAGTTAATCCCTGCGGAGTCGATCGAATTGACAGCTGGGCAGCGAGTGACGAGTGGGTCGTCGAGTTCACCGAAGGAGTCTCCTACTGTATCGCGGTTAGTGCATCGTCGAGAGAGCGTGTTGAGCTCCGGGAACGACTGAACCGAAGAGTCGGGAGCTGTGCTCTGTGTGTCGTCGAGTGCATCGCGAGTTGTAGTGTGGAGAGTCTCGAGTGTACGTGAAATTCCGAGAACGACCCAGCAGAGTCAGGAGCTATACTCTGGTGCTTTGCAGTGAAGCTGTCTGCACAGTGATAGCCTGATAACCTGAAGGCTGTGTCGCTGATTGTTCCAGCGTGTTTATAGTAGATCTTCGACGACTATAAAAAGTGTTATTGGAGCTGTCCTGACAATACTGGCAAATAAAGTGAGTTTCGATACTTCATCAAGTGTCGTCGTTATTCACTCCAAATCCACACAAACCCCGTACGAACGTGAAGGAAGAAAATAACGTAACAACTGGTGTCAGAAAGAAAAAAATCGCACCAATACTAAATTTACTTTCCACACAATCTAAAATACGCGACTTAAATCTTGCCACCACGTCTATCATTGGAACATAGGCCATTTCAAAACACGCACGACACGAACCAATGAGCAATTAAAGCACTGCAGCAAAAGAGTTAAGTTTCATCGTCAAAAGGGTTGCCATAGAAACAACATCGTCCCTGAAACCAACGCGCCAAAAATCAGCGCAGAAAACATACCGCCACATTTGGTGATCTTAGGGCGTATGTAAGAGTAGAGCCTTTTCCTGAAACAATTTTTCTCATTTTTGTAATATAAAGATATTCAATTTATAAAGCAAAAAAAATTAGAGATATTTAATTTTGAGTTGAAAATTAAACTAAATTAGTTTATACATCTTTTATTGGTATTTTCTTGTTAACGCAGCCATTTTGACACAATTTGGAGGTTTTTGCAGGTGAAAAGGCGAAAGTCCTTATCGAGTGCACGCTGATGGTTTTCACGCCATTTTTTTTTCTTTTAAAATGATTCCTAAACTATTGATATACATCGTGAGTCGATAAATATTATCAATATATGAAGAAAAATAACTATTGCAATTTAAAATAATATAACTATTAAACAAGGATTATGTGATACGTTGAAAAAATAAAACACTTACATTCCTCAAATCTTATTGTAATTTTTTTACTCTGTTCTTTTTCCTAAGCACACAGGGATCTGTTTTGACTTAGAAAACGACAAAGAATTGCGAAGACTCCGCTTCGTGCAAATCTTGGCAACAGCGGTTATCTAGGAAACGCATTTCCTCGTTATACCCTTTGAGGAAGATTCAGTATTACTGCAGTTTCTTCCCTTGTTGGCAATTTCCACAAGCTCATATTTTAAAACTAAGGCAAAGATATCACGATTTGTTTATAAAAACTGTTGGAACTTACACAAAAATATGCAAAAAAGAACGCATAGGAAAGTAGCGATGTTGCTTGACTGATTATGAGAATGGTTGCCAGAAGAATAGTTACGCGCTTGGTTGCCAGAGTTTGGCACATTCTGAAAATCTAGCTACTTTTAATAAGGTGGTGGCGATAACACGTAAACATGTACACACTCTTTTATTTTTATCCTTTTGTCAAACATATAAATTTCGTATCAGGATTAAGAAAAAACAGAAAACGCTTTGATTTAATCTTTTCTAATGAAACTTAAATTGAAATTTTTGTATTTTAGAGATATGTCTTCCTGGCGACTGTAACGCTGGAAAGTGCAATATAATTGGAAATACTTATGAATGCATGTAAGTATTTATTCTTACAGTATTATTACTGACAATTTTTTCTGACAATTCTTACTATATTATCGTTGAAACATTTTTCTGACAATTCGTGCAATATTATTACTGACAGTATTCTTACAGTAAATTACTGACAATTTTTCTGACATTTCCTACAATATTATTATTAACAATACTCTTACACTATAATTACTAATATTTTTTCCTCTCATGGTCACGAGAGCTCTGTTCTTTTAAATCATCACATTCTAGAGCGCATACCTTCAAATGACAATATCTAAAATTTCAGTTTCCATTTGTTGAGCAACAGGCCGCTAGGGAAGTTTATGTACTTTTCCTTTATCTGCCCGCAAATCTGGCAACCGTATCTCATTATGTTTTAACAGCCATTTTTATTCTCGAAATTCTCTTTTTGAGTCTCGCATTGTTGTTGTCAATATCTCATGCCCGACCTGTCAGAATTTATTTTTAGAAAGAAGCAATCTGGAGGGATTCATTTTATTCTATTAGAGAAGCAGTTTCCACTTGAACAGTAATTTACATGAGCAAAGCCCCTTCTACCCTTTTAATAATCAAATTTATTTTTCTCATTGTCCTATTATTATGTATTATTCTATCATGTTATTTGATTTTACGATACTGCACACAGATAAAAAAAAAGTACCAAACTTTTTATGTCTATTCTACACTTAGCATCAATTTTAAAATTAAATTAATTTTAATAAACTGCATTTTATAATTTTTAAGTGTACTGGTAGAAGTATATTAAAAACAAAAATTGTTCTGGAATAGGAGAAATGTAGGGTGGTTCGTAGAATATTATTTCTAAAAGCGGTTACCACTAGTGATGAGTCGATACTGCCGAACCGGGTATTTTGTAACGGGTACTGAAAATCGGTACATCCAAGTACCCGTTACTTCAGTACCGAAATCGGTACTTTTCGGTATTCGTTACTTCTGTACCGAAACGGGTACTTTTCGGTATTCGTTACTTCTGTACCGAAACGGGTACTTTTCGGTATTCGTTACTTCTGTACCGAAACGGATACTTTTCAGTATTCGTTACTTCTGTACCGAAACGGGTACTTTTCGGTATTCGTTACTTCTGTACCGAAACGGGTGCTTTTCGGTATTCGTTACTTTGTAACGAAAATATGCGTCTCTTCTCGGTATTTCGGTATTCGTTACTGGAGGATCGATGAGGGTTCAGCTCACTTCGGTTTTGGTAAGAGGACAGTAGTATCTGGTTGTATTTGCGAAATGGTGATATGCGCTCCTTGTGTCCATGAATTGTGTGCTCCTCAGACACTTCCGTAGTTGACATGTTTTCTAATATTCATAATCTTACTCCGTACAGATAAAATCAAACACTTGGTGACGTGGCAGAGTTCCTTCAGTGCGCAAAATCGTTAGCTGCGTATTTCGGTACTCCAAATCGTTACTAGGGTACTGTACTCTGGTACAGTAAACCGTTACTAGGGTACTCCGGTACAGTAAACCGTTACTAGGGTACTCCGGTACAGCAAACCGTTACTCCGGTATTTCGTTACTTCGGTACTCCAAATCATTACTTGGGTACTCGTTACTTGAAATCGGTTTTCGGTACTTTTTAAAGTAACGGTTACTTGAGTAACGGGTATTTTGTACCGGGTACTTGTCTGTAACGTTACTCTCGTATCGGGTACAAGAATGTACCGAAGTTGCCCATCACTAGTTACCACTCGAAAATGTTTGAGAAATAATAAGTTAGACTTTGAGTTTGTCAGGACTACTACATCTAGAAATCCTGAATGGGAACATGGAGCTTACTCAAGCTATGTTCGTGTGTGCGTGGAATAGACAAACAAGTAAGAAGGGTTAACATTACCCTTTATTTCTCACAGCGTACAGGCGCTCCCGCACTTCGGGATACAGAGACTACACACTTTTGGTCAAAAATAAGAAATATTCACTTAATAACTAAATAAAAATTAATTTTAAAAGCATTACAGGGGCTATTAAAGCGAAGAATGGCCTTTTGAACCTACGTAATTAGTGAGCTAGGTGCAAGTACTACAATACGCCTATTGTATCAGCAGGAACTAAGTTCTGGCCTAAAGGCAGACACGAACTGACTTGAAAAGCACACGCGTAGCAAGACAGCTGGAAGGCTCACTCTCTCTTGGCTAGAAGCTGCTTTTTAACCCCTTGGCCTACACGATGTCTGCCAATTGCGCGAGCTATAGGAGACAAGATAGTCGGTCGCGCGCTGTGCCATTCAACTGTTCATCCGGTGTACCCGAACTGGAGCAAAATGTATATTTTTCATGACATATATATTTCAGTGTAACGAAAGGAATTGTGAAATAATTTTAAGACGTCTACGATGTAATCATAATCAATTGATCAGTTGGCAAAAATAATCGCATGATGAGTATAAGAGTTTGGCATGATGGGTATAAGGGATTTTTAATTCTTTATACGAAATTATATTTGAAACGTGAGAACGTAACGAAGCTTTACGGGGAACTAAAGTAACATATCATCCAGTTTCGTCAGAAACAACTGAAAAAAAAATAAAATACTGATGTTACAATCAAAGGTAAAATATTCGATATACTAGAATAACTCCAATCGCTTGTTCTAATAATACGCTGCATTTTATGCACAAATTCCTTACCACGAGTCAAAATCGTGGCTTTTGTTTATGACACAAATTCTTTACCACGAGTCAGACTCGTGGCTTTTGTTTATGACACAAATTCTTTACCACGAGTCAGACTCATGGTTATAGGCCAAAGGCTTCAATACCTTTTACAATTTGCAAACTCATTAGTATAAAATCCTACTTGCGCTTATTCTGCCGGAAATGGAAAATAAGAGAGGATAGCAAGGTTTAAAATAAAATAAACGTTATTAAAAGTTAAAACCCTTATAAGTTAAATGCTGTAACTGAATTATCTGTAAAAGTGAAAAATATGAGCACGTTCCTATTTATTGTAAGTGCATACAAATGACGATGAGTGAGTCAGCGTGTAATGCTATCATAAACAGAGAAGCACTTGAGGGCGCTTTTCTGTGTTTAAAGAATTCGCCCTGTGGCAAAGATATTTAGAAAAGTTGTAGATGAGTGTAACAATAGCTTTCAGATGTCGGTTTCAGTTCATGAAAATGGATGTTAAGAAAATACAAAATGGACTTTAACCTTGATCATGTTGTTTCGTTGCAGATGTGACGAAGGCTATAGTGGAAAATACTGTGACATGAAAGTTCTGAAGATTCCAGGTATGACGTTTTTTTACTTTTAGGCTGAAAATGGGGCAGCCATCCACTGAGTTGAATTAGCATCTCGGCCATGAAACCCTATTACCCGAACTTTATGCTTCCCGGGTGAAAACTTTGAGGACAGTGTAAATATGACATATCTTCTGAATTGAGCAGCATTTCACCGGGTTATTGATGCAGGGTCTAAAGGGCATATCTTGTTAGTGTTATGAATTGTTTGTAAAATAACATTTGTAACCGTTTTCTGTACAGAGATGATGTACACTGGGGAAAAAACAAAGTGGGGGACCATAACTATGATGGTTTACCTAATCAGATTTATTTCCTAAACTAAAATTATTACCATTGCCATCATAGTTATATTACAGTAACTATGCTATTTTGCCTAATTTGATTCATTTCCTAAACTAAAGTTATTACCATAAATATCATGGGGTTATTACAGTAACCATCATGGTTTACCTAATTTGATTTATTTCTTACACTGGAATTATTGCCGAAACTGTCATTGTAATATTACCAAAACTATTTTTGTTTTCTGGTTGGCTGAATTTTGTTTCCTAAACTAGAATTATTACCATAGCTAGCAGTGTTATATTACCATAACTATCATGGCTTACCTAATATGATTCATTTCCTAAACTATGATCACAAATTTACGACGAGTCGTTTAAAAAGATATTTAAAGGTGGAAGCAATTTGAAGCAATCTACTTCATACTGCCAATAGATTTCTAATTCTCTAGCAGTATCTTCTACTCGGGACATAAGACATATCAAAGTTTTCAATGCTGATATTAACATATTTCATTCTCTTACAGGTAATTCTGCCTTGATTGCGGGTTTTTCAGTTTCAACGCTGATTTTAGGAGCCTTGCTGTTTGCTTTGGGTTGCATACTGTTCAGATATTTTAAGTAAGCCTTCTTCTAATCAATTAGAAACACGCTAAATATTTAACTGTATGTATGCTACCGCACAGTATTTTTTCTGTTTACGCCACTGCCAAAATGCTTAGATAATTACAATACATTTTCAATGAAAAAAATAATAATTGTGAAAAAATAGTTCACTTATGCATCTTTTGGAAACAGATGCCCATACAGTCACATTTTTGAGAATAGAGTGATTGTGGAAGACACACTTAAAGGTTCTCAGTTCCCAAAATTCGCCACTTTCGCTTACTAACGAATCCATAAAGATGGGAATGTTCTTCATTTGAAAACTATATAAAGCTTTCCACCATTATTAACACCATCAATGATTTCCAGCATTTCAGTCGCAAACATGTTCCGTTTCTCAACGGATACGGTCTGAAAAGGTTTTTGTGTTTGAATTTTATAACGGAACAAGGACAGGTACTTAAGCATTATCTTATGCGCCACCGTTTTGTTCGACTAACATGCGCCTGCAGTTTTAATGACTGATTTTCTACGGAAGCGTACAATAGTTTTCTCAACGACCTGTACATTTCCTTCTGTAAAAGCCGACTGGTGTCATCCAACAGTTCCAATTTTCTCACCCGCCACACTACTTATTCGTTTGAATTTCTAGTACAATGTTTTTATTGTATTCGGCCGCGGACCATTAGTGAATTGGAATTTGCACTGAAAACTTTTTGTAATACTCTCCCCTAGTTTCGCTCAACGAAAACATAAGTAAAAAGATTTAAAAAAACTGGCATTAAACCCAGCTCAGATAGCGTCCATTTTTGGCCAAGGCCAAAAATGTCGGAAGATAAGCATAAGTCGACTTTAGCCGCTCGGCTGTGTCACGTAAGGCAAGCAATTTAGGTATTTTGAGCAAAACGCAGCATAAGTTCGACAGTTTTGAAGGCAATGCGGAGTTTCTCTGTAGTATCTTTGGCATATCTTATCTGTTGAGCTAAAATGGAAATACTATTAATTAAATTGAAAATTTGCGGATCTTGAAAAACTTGTATGATCTGTTCAATTTCAGAAACATGTTTCTCTTCAGATTTATTTTGCGTTAATGCAAATAACGCAATTTATTTTGCGTCAATGAATGATTTTTTTAAAGATTGTAATATTTTCAGAAGTTGCTAGTGTAGGAAATTTAGGTAAGTCTTCTATTTTAGGTGGAGATGGCTTGTTTTCTGGTTGGCTGAATTTTTAAATTTCTGCTGATAAATTTTGCATCAACGGTAAGAGCTCACGTGAGATTCTGAGCAAAATATACACTTAGGTTTCTCACTTGGTTGAATTTGGCATGTATTACTTCTATCGTTCTTAGTGCATTTTATGCAGCGTGCAAGTTTAAAGCAGTTGGCCTGTAAATGTCCAAACTCCTGACAATTATAACATTGTATTGGTTGTTTACACGGAGTGTATTATTCAATGATCACATTAAAGTCAAAAACATTATTTAGATTATCGATTGCTTCTCCGATTGCGCTCCTATGCAGTTCCAGAAAAGTATGGGTAGCATTACTTTTTGACCATCTAAAATCTTCCAAAATTGCTTGACTTTAATAATAGGATATTTTTTGAGTTCTAAGTCGTCAAATAGGGCTTGTTCTTTTACCGTGCTGGAAAAATTTTACTCTTCTAGTCACAGATAACACTCCTTTTAAGTCAAAACATCAAACCCTTCTGCAATGATTTGCATGCATCAAAACTTGGAAAAACGGTTGAAGATATCTGAAGCGCCATCTATCGGAATGTTTTAACTGAAACTAAGAACTCTGGGATGAAACATTTATGTCCTTTCACATGAATTTGCTGCAAGATTTTTTTTTCCTTAACCATTTTCTACTTATAACCTTTTTAAAACCGTCGGTCTATTTTAGGATACCCAATATCTTCACAGATCCTTTATTTAGGAAGCAATGGGACGTTCTGGAGCTGAACTATATCAACCTCAAGTTACAACTGAGTTACATTTTAACATCTTAACGTGCATAGCCTAGTCGAGGCACTCCTGCGAGCCTTCGAGATTTAACGAAGTATCAAAATGACTTCAGTTATGAATATGCGGATGATTCCATTTGCAATTAGGAGCAATTTGGGTGATGAAAATGGGTACTATTATTCATCAGGTAATGATAAGACAGCATTTTATTCTTATATTTTCAGTTAATCACGAAACCTAAGATGTTGTATTGTATAATCAGTGGGCCTCCTTTTTTTTTTTTTTTTTTTTTTTTTTTTTTTTTTTTTTTAAGCAGGAGATGTGGAAAATGTGCAATGTCCTTATGGGGCTTCTAGCCCGTACCTCTCGAATACGCGCCAAACATTCCCCGTTACATCACGAAGGCATGCTGGGAGCAGGGAGAAAATACCTTATAGTATGAAAATTGTTAAAATCTTAATTTATTAGCTTTTTATTTCGTCAAAGATAGACCCTTCTATTTTAACTCTTTCACAGCAAAGTCGCCCAAATCGGCCTTCCGTTCAGACATCGGCAGATCGCCCGAATGCCTGCGTCCATATTCTACCTTGCACTTTCCCCCTATCATGTTACTGCATGGATCATTGTTTTCCGGAGTTGTTAAATGACATGCCAGTCATGCATTTGAAGCCACTAAAAGTAGCTCTGTTGTTTGAATGTACCTTCTCTCTCCTTTGTTTAGCGTCAACATTTAGCTATTGACGCTGGCAGTAGAAACTATGCCCTAAAAAGAAGCTACACATAGTGGATGAAACCGTACAAAGATCCCCAACAGAGAAGTAATCGCTTCACTTTAGTATGTTATTGTTAACGCTGTAGCATTTTTCTTGGCATGCAGGAAGGAAATCCATTCCAACAAAAATCCCTATCTAAGGGCGTTTCAGATGTTTGAGAGAAACAGATTTTGACGTCTATCGATACGAAAGAGTTAACAGAAACATCAAATTTTAGCCTGCCTTTCCTTCTCGGGGTGACTGCTCACCCTTGTACGTTTAACGGAAAAATCAAATAAGTAATTCAGAAATGAAAAGTGAAACGCTAAATATATTAAACATAATATCGAATTACAAAATTAGTTTTAACACTGAGTACAAATATTTGTCCGTTGCCTATTCAAAGCAGCGCTTCTTTTGCTCTCTAAACGCATTCTGATGAGGAATGCGGAATTAAAGATCAAATCATAAGAACTGGTTATTTTAACCCAAGAACCTTACAGATCTTTTAATTATAAAAGCTAAACGTTATAACCAGCATATGTATATGAAACACAAACAAAACACAGCTGTATCATGATTAAATAGCTCTCCTTTGGAGTCACGAGGTACGTGCTGCATCTGAACAAAGAAGGCGAAGAAGAAAACCTTAATATCTATTTTAGTGTCAAACAACCGGTGTCTCCGTCTACTATCGCCTTTATCAACTGCGAATGATATATTTTAAAAGAATTTAAGTAACGCATCCCTGCATCAGGTTTTTTTCCCATTAGCTGTGTGTTGCAATTTCCTGCTAACGGACAATAACTCAGATCCGTACAATCCTCACAATGTGCTCCTCGACTAATTTCTACAAATTTAAAATATTCCAAGAATAAACTAATGAGCCAGATTTTCAAAAATGAACTTAGTTTCGTCGTGGCCAGTTTGGAGATCACGAAACCTGTCAGTGCTTTGCTGCTTTAACCTCTCTCCCTTTGCTGAGAGCCTAATAGAGCTCCAACGTATTGAACTTAAATCCCAGCTGAAGCCTTTGTCTGAACGAAACCTTGAAGTTATTTAGTTGGTTCACACCTATATATAGGTATATATAGGTGTATAAGCTGGGTATAAGCTAGGGTATAAGCCGTAGTTAAACAAGGAAAATGAAGTCGGGCATGTAAATGTGGAGCTGCGTCAACGAAACTGTCGACCGAAAGTGAGTTCCTGTTTGCTTCGCTGCGATTCATAGGTTGCTATACCAAGTTGCCATGAAAGGGAAAATTTAGAATTTTTAAGCAAATTGTACTTAAGCAGCCAGCATTTTACAAAAGGTAAGTTGTTATTGTTATATATGTTATTGTTATATTATCAATGTAAGTTGATGACAACAGTCAACAAGCCCACAACATTCACCGAGGCAAGGGTTCAATGCGCCTGTCCTTCACAAGAGCCTTGAACTCAATATAGGAGAGAGCTCGACTTTAGCTCACTTCCGCCACCAATTCTGAGGTATAATATTCCGAGGGGACGGGGCAAGTTAAGATGATATAATAATGTTGTTGTTGTTACTTATGGCTATGTGTATGTGGGGAAAGAAGCCACTCTGACCATTATTTCTTTCACTGCCCATTTACCGCCAACCTACACGTCAAACATCCTACTCAAGTGGGAATGGAATTCAAAAGATTCCTAATTAACCATCAACACACCTACAAAAGCATCAAACAAATTGTAAATAAGCTACAACAACCAAGTAGAGAACTACGTCACTCATAAATAACAAAACTGACACAACACCTAATTAATTGTAACATGTCTGCACCTTGATTCCTGTATGGCAACGTATCTGTGCCTCAACTGTCTGCACCCCCAGTTTGTCTGCATGTGTATTCTTATCTGGATTACTTGTTACTTGTTATTGTGTCAACAGTGTGATGCAATGACCTGATATGTAACAGTGCAATGTTAAGTAATGTAACAGTGTAATGTAATGACCTGATATGTAATCCTTTGTCTTTATAATAAATGCCAGAAAAGGTAAGTGCAGTGAGGCAATACCATTTTTGTCTACGACTATGTTGTGGTGCCCCCTGCACTTTTTCCTGTCCTGTCCTGTCTGACAGTAACATCAGCGAAGCCGATGAAATGCCTCGTGGCAAGGAGCGCAAGATACGCCTGTCATTGGCAACAGCCCTGAGAACCTTTACAGGACTTGCGGCTCGCCGCATATTTAGATTGCTACCATGTCGTACAGACACTTACATTTACAAATTTTAATGCCTTCTTGGGAATTCTAACCAAAAAAAGCATTCGGTGCGGTAGTCAGAGTCACTAACCCCTATTACGGTTGGGCGGCAAAAAAAAAAGCAAGTTCAGATATTATCAAAGACCCGCTAGCGGCCGAGCCGTAAAAACAATCATAGTTCGGGTCCCGTCAAACGGGTTGGTTGCATTTGCGTTTTCGTAGCTTTCACCATGCGTATACGAGCCAGTTTTCCTTAAAAAGACCTCCACAAGGCATCCCTCCCTTCCCGTGTAGTGCCTAAGTGCAGAGCACGTAATAAGTACCATGAAAATGTCACAGTAATAAAAGCTGTTAATTGTCATTTATCAAGTTTGTTGGAAAATGTTTAAAAAAATCAATCCTATAACTCTGTAGACGAACTATGTATCTGTCTTTATTTTTTTAGAAGGAAGTCTGCATAATTTATTCATTTTGCTTTTTCCATTATTTCCTTTTTACAGAAATGCAAAGTCTGCATCAACTTACGGAAATCAACAGCAAGAGAGTATGAAGCATTTCTAATGTATGCTCTTAAGTTTTCAACTCAATATTTTGTAACTTGAGACAACAAGAAAAAACATTTTTAATGTATTATTTATTAAACCTGATGGCTAAAATAAAATATATATACGTCATAACCGACCACTTTGAATTTGTTTTTAAACGAAAGATTTGTATCTCTATCTAATGCATCAATCTCTAAGAAATCCAAACATTACTGCCTCAAGATATTATTTATATTATTGTACAAGACACATAGACCGTATTTTCCCACGAAATTTTCGCCTTAGTTCCCCCTCCATGTAGCTTGCTAGCAGACAGCAGTTTATTCATAAATACTTTTCATTTATTGTTTCCTTACTGTGCTTATAAAGCAAAACGTATTTATGAATAAACTATATATGATTATATCAAGCTAGGGAAGGGGTTCGTATATTTATTTATTTATTTATTTATTTAGGAGGTAGTCCGGCCCGCCCTATGACACGAAAGAGCTGCACCCATATAACATAACCTACACAGAAAGAAATATGAACAAAAAATACAATACACAATAGTAAATCAAGCTATAAAACAAACAAACATCGTCTGATTGGTTTTTATAGTACAAAGCTTGTGTATATAGGAATTGGTAGTTGAAATTTTGGCTTGTTCAGATCTTTGTGGTATGACGTACTTTGCCTTTTTTCTAAGTTTGATGATTTTGATACCATTACCATATTGTTTATTAATGTAGTCCCTATGGTTAGTTATGTTGTCTAGACCAGTGTTTCTCAACCGTCGGTCCGCAAAATATATTTGCCGGTCAGCGAAATATATAGCTATCTGTCCAAAAATTGTGCCAATGGGTCGAATTATTAAAATTACCGGTCCGCGAGAATATACCGAAATATTTTACCGGTTCTTGGAGTAAATCCAGTTGAGAAACACTGGTCTAGACAATCATTAAATATGCTATTAGCCACTCGAGTAAAGTCGTATTCAAGACTGTTAAGTTCTGAATTAGAGTCTGATAAATAATCCTCAGAAAACATAGTTGCTAAAGACTTTATAGTAGTCTTACAGAAATAATATAATTAGGGAGAAAAAGCTTTTACAGTGAAGATATAGGTATCTATCTCTTATAATGAAAATATAGCGTTCGTGTATTATTGGAGCACGTAGAAAATTGAATGTTAGGGTTTTTTTTTTTTTTTTTTTTTTTTTTTTTTTTTTTTTTGCTTATAACGGAGACCCCCCAGTGGCTGACCGGTAAAGTTGCTGCAGGCTGGTAAACTGATTAGAATCCAGGTCGAATCAAAACAAGAAATACAGCGGATCTTCGTGAAATTTAAAAATCTAGAAAACTGGCTGAGAAAACTATGTTAATACTTAAACCCATGCGTTTTAACATTTGGGGGTTTAGCAAAAAGCCTTTACAGTTATTTGATTACTTTTTTGATAAAATCCTTCTTGTGGGACTTTAGAAAAACACTTATGAAAGAAACATAATTCAGCTTTTTAAAGGCTGAGTAAATTTTTTTTGAAAAATTTTAAAATCTTCAAACAGCTAATTTTGATTCACTTGATGAATGTGCTTTTAAAAACATAATGCGAATACATCCCTAGAAAAGAAATTTTAGAATTTTGTTAAAATTTCGACAATTTTACATCGAGAGGTGAAACAACGTTACACACGTTCTAAATCAAATTTCTGAATTACGTTCCTGAAAGCATTTCCAGTGAACAGTAAACTGAAGGCAGAATTTAAGTAATAAACCACATGGTAGAAACAAGAGAAGTACAATTTACACCAAAGTCACCGCTATGCTTGAAATAGGCAACCCACTTTTGCACTGTTATATTTCGGACTTGGAGTGTTTTGGGTACTGCCGTTTGTAGACATTAGGTTATTTCAAAGCAGGAGACATGAAAAATGAACAACGCCTTCGCCGGGACTCGAACCAGACCTCTCGAATAAGCGCCGAGCTTGCTGACCGCTACACAACGAAGGCATGCTAAGAAGGCGGGAGAAATACGTTTAGTAGTTTTTATTTTTTAGAGAATTTAGCACGTCCACAATAGGAGGCAGTGAAGGAACCGAGGCAATTTGCGTACTTGGTGTTTCTAGTTCACCTAGATAGAGAGAAGCATGGGATTTTCCCCAAATAATTCCCCATATTTGGCGTACAATGAGCCAGATTTCATTATATGTTCCTCTACGAAGACTTTATTTCCCGAATGAAATAAAACTCCAAGTTTCCTACACTAATTTCAGTTTTGGGGTGACATTCTAAAATCAACAAATTATGAACTTATTTTTCAATTGAAGAAGTCATGTTGGTTTACTCACATCCTTGTGAAAATCCATCGATAAATATTTCGAAATTTTCTTACAAATTCCGCCAATTCTATATCAAGTTATAAAAGATCATCACATTCTCTAGTAGTAGTAGTAGTAACGGAGGACGTGGGCACAGTCTGCCCACGTCCGCCCTTGTCTAGTGTTTGTTAATAATTCTTAAATTTTTACATTGCCATATGTTGTGACTGTTAACAAATAAGGTATATACAATAATTGTATTCACAACTTAACTTATCACATAAATTTTGGTTGGAGAATTTTCTCTAATAAATTTCTTTCTTTTGTAATTTTCTTTATTTTTAAGCAGTCTATATATTATTTTTTCATTGTGAAGTTTCTCTTTTATTATTTGCACCATTTCAACTGGAATGTTGTGTAAGTCCTCTTGCAAAATTCCTTTCATTTTGTTACAGTTCTTTAGTGTTTCTCAGTTTCAAGGTTTCTATTGTATTCCTAATAGTGCACCTCATATTTTGCTAATGTCTTCCAGAATAGTACTTTTTCCTTTCCAAAGTTTTCGTCTTATCCTTTTTGCATGCTGCTGAATCCTACCTCTCTTTGCTCACACCGGATCAACATGAGTATGGTTTCTTGTAACCTGATTTTCAAGTTTAAAATATCTTTATGACAATTTAACTACCTATGCGTCATGTCTTCATAATCGCGAAAAGTCAGTATTTATTTTTCGTAATTTGAATTTATTTTTCGTACATATTAAATGCATATACATTTTAAATATGATATGTATGATACTTTTTGCTAGAAATTATTCACTTTCCCAAGTTATGAGCACTGATGTTATTTGCTTTATTATAGATTGCAATTATTACTTTACTCCTTTATTTATTATACTATTTCATCTTTATTATAACCTGTTATAGTAGTTATTCAGCAATATATTGGAAACACATGTAGCACAGCTTTTGAAAAAATAATGCAATAATGTGCCACACTCACAAATACTTTTATCATTGAGTTATAGAAACTTGCTAATTCAAGTTTATTTTCTCAATACTCAAGTTTCAATTTAAGTTCTGATGGATCTCACATCAGAGACTACAATAATAAATCTTTTTGTCATTAATTTTTTTAAAAATTCAAACGACAACTAATTGCAAATGTGAACTAATAATTCAAACTTGCTAATTAGTAATATATTAATGACTTGCAGGATTTTTTCATTGCTTAATGTTGCATGGATGTTTTACTCTTCCCTGTCATCAAATAAATGTAGAGAGTATATTTAATGAGATATTCTTTCATAAGAATTTTTAGATTCATTGGAATTGATTGCATAGTTATGATCTTGCTTTGTTTTTAGGATAATTTGGAATATAATTTTGGATATGCTATAAGATTTAATGTATAATGTTTTTGCTATAAAACATCTTTAGAATCAATTTTTTATCAATATGTAAATTAAACATAAGATGTAGTAACTAAGATAACATGTAAAAAAGATTTATGTATTTCACTTAATGTCCACCTGTGTATTTATTATTAAAAAGCATCTTAGGATCTCGAATTGAAATATTAAAACTCTTTATGGGAATAAAAAAAAAGTACCTCATTTTGCTTCAATATCATTGCACAGAAAAACATAATTATAAAGCAATATTTTATTATATTAGAATTAATGTGTTGATATTAATTTTGTTATGAAATACTATGTATTTTATTAATATTCAAGTACCATAGATCAATCTGCTTAATTTAAGCAATATAAATTAATTTGAGAGCCTAACATATTTTTTCTTTTTATTACGAAATGAAAAAAATCTTGTGTTTAATTCATTACATATGTTATATTTTCATTGATATCAACATACTGTATGATTTTTATAAATAATTTTGTGTGAATATGTTTCCCATTTAATTTTACAAATTTTATTTCTGTATAAAAGTTCAGATACGTCTCACTTTATTTAAATCAGCTTCGCTAAGTATACAATATCACTCAAATCTTATTTTATGTTCTGTTTGATAAATCGGTAGAAAACTATTTAAATGCATTACGATATAACATAGTAAGTTATTAATGCTAAAATTCAAAATATCAGTTGTAAAAATTAATTTCACTTGACTTTTGTGTTTGAAATAAAAAGCTGCATACGACATAAATGGAAACAGTCGTCTGTGCTACCATAGAAATAATTGCCTTCGCTTGTGATGTCACAAATCGGTGGCGCAGCCCTGTAGATATCTAGTTGGCTTTGCTCATACCGACCGCTATGCCACCTGAAACTCACACCTGCACACTATCAAGGCAGATTACATTGCTGCTTGGCTGGATAAGGTTGGAATGATGCTGACTGGGGAGGTATAGTCTTTAATTCTGCTTCCAACTGTGTCATGACAATCATCGAAGACGTGTCTGGAGACGCCCAGAGGAGCATGCTGATCTTACTTTCACTATTGCACGCCACACAGGCTCTTAATCGAGAGTTATGGTCTGGGCACCTGTTTCCTTTATAGCCAGACCCCTTTGGTTGTCATTTGAGGCAACATACGGCATAGTGGTACATCGACATTCTGAGACCTGTTTTGCTACCGTTTCTTTTGCAGTACCCTGGCCTTATTTTTCAGCAACATAATGCCAGACCACATACAACATGTGTTGCTGGAAACTGTCTTACATATTGTCAAACACTTCCTTGGCCATGCAGACTTCTCTCCCATCGAGCATGTCTGGGACATGATGGGAAGGTGACTACATCTACCAAAGAATGTTGATGACCTAGCCAGATAATTGGAGCAAATTTGCAAGAAAAACAACAGATTATTCAGGAGCTTTATC